AACGAGACGAATCTAAGCGACATTTTTAAAAAGAAAAATGTTTTTGAAATACGATTTAAGCTAAAAATACCTGTCAAATGTGAAAGTTCTTATTAACATGGGAAAGCCTAAACAATGGTTAAAAATGGTAAAAATATTTTTGTCACTTTGTCTTAAATCACATAAATATATTTTTAAAGCAAAGGATATCGATTTACTGTTCCTTTGAAAATCTAAAAATACTTGACAGATAATTAACTACAAATTCTATTGTAATGCTATTTTTAATCTGTATCGGGTGTCCCTCTCTCCAAAATTGATAAATTACATTGCTTTACCTCCGAGAATTTTGCTAACACCTTGCTTTTGTGTTCGGTAAACAGTTTGACACATATTTTATAAGTTGATTCTGTCCTCCCTGATTATTTAGAGATAGGAACGGGTTCTTTAGTAACACGCCTGCTCAGCTGACATTTTAAAAGACAATTGTCGGGATCGGATTTCAGTTATATCTGTTAAACCGGTCTCAAAAATGAAAAATGTATTAAAATTATGGCAATATATCCCGGATTGGAGGATTGATAAATTGAAATTTTTACAGCAAATTTCAATACCCGACCATATCATGTTTCCTTATCACGAAATATCACAGCTTTAGCCACCATTTTGTTTTTATTATGCCGTGAATTATGGTCGATATTCAAGCGACAAATTATTTTTCAAATTTGAAATTGTTTTTCCTCGATGAAAACTCGGAACTTTATGAGAGAATTAATGACACAGGTACACAATATTAGAATGAATTTTGTCGCCTCGGTTGAGATTTATAGTGATAAGCGAGGGTCATCCATCATATATGCTAATAAGTAATGAGGCACTGTAAATTTTGTTCTCCTCAAACATTTTGATCTGATGTAATTTTTATGTAGCAAATTCTATACAACTAAATAAAACCATACGAATTTCCTTTTAAAAAAAAATTTAAAAAAAAGAACAAACCTTGAAAAAATATTTTCAAGATTGTAAATGCATTACTAGCTATAGCTTATAATGTAACACATATTTTGCTTGATATTGCTTGAGAGATGTATAGGGTGAACATTGCTTATGCTACCTTTCTGACAGCCAACAGCAACCATCAACTTTATATACACATATGCACAGTCATGTATTTTAGCGCACAAAAGGTGTGCAATCGACTTCGGGATATTATTTCGCGCATTTGGTGGCGTTTAGTGTTGCTATATATATATGACTACAATGAGTTCTAAAGACTTTTTTTACATAGACTCGTGTCGAGTAGGCAGATGTCGTTTTTGTCGATGAAAATTTTTGTCTTGTGTATTTATATTGCACAAATTAAAATATCCAGTTTCATTACAAGCAGTTATAATTCATAAAGTGATCAATGTTCACTGTTTTCTAAATTCCAAAATATGGATCGTCTACTCCGCAATTAAGTATTTATTATACTTACATGTATTACATATGTACATGAATCTTCAGAACATAGAATATTACATTTTTACACATTAGCCTACGTCTTTTTTCTAATTTCAAATGTTAAAATTTGAAATGATTTCATGACAAATGAATTTCCACGAAATCATTTTTAATTTTAAATTGGAAAGACATAATCTAATGCTAGAAGAATCACAACCAGCACTAAACACAAAAATAACTTTTCTTATCGCCTATCAGTTGTGCTACTTTGATTATGTAATTGTTGGGAATTTCAGAATTGATATTTTGTTTTATTCCAATCAAAATTGTTTGAATTTGCATTCATTAGAAATACTGACAGGGTCGGAGATTTTGTAAAAGCATCGCCCCACTGCAGTTTGTGTAACAGAGACCATGATAAAAATCTTGCGGCGAGTGCAGACGACATTTGGCAAACCGCATCTTCTACGCTGAAGGTCATCTTTCTCAATGCGCAAAGGTCGGCCCATCTGCCTTTAGTCGTCATAATGACGCAATGAATATTTTATCACTTGAGGGCGTGTATGATTACATGATTAGCGATGTCTTACGGCGGGTGCCGAGGCCAAAAAAAAAAAAAAAAAAAAAACGATATCAGTGAGGGTAATTGCGAGGGACGGCTAATCATTAAAAAATCCATATGATAATTTTTTCTTTCTAGAAATTGATAAAAATAAAAGAAATTTCGAGTAGTTTTGCTGTTTTTTTTCTTTTAATGAATCCCCAAATCCCAAATATGAAATGGCTATGTAGTTTTAAAGTAGAGGTTAAATATTGTGCAAAATTTTAAACCAAAACTAGAAAACTCAGTTCAAAGTTTCAAGTTACGAGGTCCTAAAACAATTTTTTTTTGTTTTAACTTTTGATACACGTGTATATGTATATGTATCTCTAAAACAAAGTTTGAGTTATAACTTTCAAGTCTTCGGATACTATAGAAAGTCCTCTTAAGAGTTTCGAGTTTTAAGTTTTGAAAACAAAGTGTTTTTTAGATAAAAGTTTGCGTTATAAATTTAGATGCTAATGTCCCTAGACAAAATTGACCGGTAAACATTTGGATACGAGGGTGTAGCTAGACTAAAAGTGGCGTATAATTTCAACTATGAAGATGTCATGCACAAACAATAACTTTATCAACGAGGGTGTCTACGAATTGGCCAATGGTAATAATTTTGGAGACAAGGATATCGGTATTGGATGAAATATGTCGCTAACGAACAGTATTCTAGCTCAAAAGTCCATTAAAACAATACAAATCGTAGGCAGAGAAAACAAGGACCCAAAAAACGTTAGAATTTGAATTAGGTACCATTTAAATGTAAGCATCCCTTGTCTGCTGGTCACGCCCGTCGTGTACTACTGGTCATGATCAGGCAATGGAAATCCGTACACAATTTAGAATGTGAATAAGCCGACAAGGTCATTCTAATACTAGTATACAACTTTCAAAATGTTAACTCTAAAGGAGAGTATTGAATTTTTCATTTTTTTTTCCGACTATTTGTTCATAGCTTGCTTCGTTTTAAATTGTTCGTACGCAGAACACACTCTTGCACATCGAATCAACTCCATATGCAGGTGATAAGTTATGTTGCTACATATATGGGAAGTTGACGATAAAAAAAATTGAAGTCATCACGTTTTTCAAAATTTTGATTTGAGGTTACCAGGTCTATTGAATAAAATATCCAAGTCTGAAACAGATGTGTCGACTCTGCAGTTATCTCAAGATGATTAAAATCAAACATTAACTAACTTCTTTTATTTTGATTGTCGTTTCATGCGACAATCAAATAAATGGAGCTAGTAAAGGTTTCATTTAACCAGACGGTGGTTATCTTTTACTCTATCTCACTGCTTGGGAAATATAGAGTCAACATGAACGGTAGTAATTATTGTTAATTCATATCAATTATGTTGTGTACTTATCATATGAACTATTCTACTGTGTAATATATGTATGATGTATTTATACCTTTGAGATGTATGTCTCTTGGTTTTAATAAAATCTTAAAAATCTATCGAAATGTTGTGATGAAGACCACAGCAAGGATGTTCTTATTTTCATTTATTTTCTCTGCTTCATATTTATACAAAATATATTCTGCTATTGGTACCCATTGGAATTCACAGATTGTTGGAAGGTTTGAAATCCAAAAACTACATGGATATTGTCAATTAGAAACTCGAGCACCTTTTTAATATCAATTTCGGAGTGATTGTGTGTACAATCAGAATTATTTTAACAAAATAATTTTGCAAATGACAAATGGAAGCGTAAATAAAATTCGAGTTCGTTTTTTGATTGAAAATGCCGTTGTCTATGAAGTCAACGAGCTTGGACTTTAATTTATGGTGAGGAATGGTTGTATTTTAAAGTTACAAAAGTCGTACGTTTTGGTATTATTGATTTTGGTAAATTTTTACAATTTCAATTCTTGGAGTTTTTGCATCTGATTTTCAACACTTCTCGAATATATTGTTGCACAGTTCTCATAAAGTTTCTCCTTCACTGCAGTCAATATTTAAGTGAGAAGTAGAGAAAGAGGTTTGGTAGAAAATCTACTAGAATCCACTATGTACAAGTATTTGAGAGGATTCTAAATAAATGAAAAAGAAGGAGACTCGAATTATATACATTTATATATATTTAAACTTGTGCTATATACCTACTTCGTGTTTAGACTTAAAATAAAATGACACTTCTAGATAATATTTTTACGGATTCTTTTATAGAGATACTGAGTAAGAAAAAATTGATGTCTCTAACAAAAGTTAGTGTTTTAACTTTGGATACCACAGAGTCTCTTTTTATATACTTTTGTAATATAACTTTGGGTACAAGAGGGTTTTTATACAATCTTTTGAAATATAACTTTGGATAAAAGAGGGTTTTAGAAACACTTTTAAAATGCAACTTTGGATACAAGAGGGTTTTTAGATACACATTTGAAATATAATTTTGGATATAAGAGGGTTTTAGAAACACTTTTAAATGTAACTTTGGATACAAATGGGTTTTTAGATACACTTTTATAATACAGTTTTGAATACAAAAGTGTCTCTATTTATACACTTTTGTGATATAACTTTGGATGTAGATAGGGTGTCTGGATAAAAAATTGCGCAAAAAACTTTAGATCAGATAGGTTCTCTTGATCAACTTCGGGGCTTTTTCTCCGTAGGTTTCGATGTGGTGTCTATACAAAGTTTGACTTACAACTTTTGAGACGAGGGGGATTTCTAGATGTAACTTAGGATTTGATGTAGTTTCTAGATATTTTTTTCCATTGCATTTGATGGGATCTCTGAATAAAGAGTTTTTCCAATAATTTTAGATAAGATGGGGTCTTTAGGCGAGTGTTATTACTAATTCGAATACAAAGGCATCCCGAACAAAGCTTCAGACCTTATTTTTTTAGGTTTAACGATTTAATTATATTGCTTTTATTCTTTTTAAAACTATGACAATAGTTTAATTCTCTCTCACTCTCTTCGTCCAAATAATTAAAGTGCTGAAGTGATAAAAATAAAACATATAGGAAACTTGCTCAATTTTGCTTTATTCTGTCATATTGTAAGTTTTGCAGGTACATGTACCGATCGTTATAAAATATTTACATACATCTGTAATTAAATAATCTACAACATGACAATTCTATTATCATAGACATACACATTCGAAATTCATATTTCATATAGCTTAGTGCCGTCCTGTCGCATGGCCTTCCTACTAATATCTTCAAGTCACGTGATGTTTACAAATCTATTCGAACACTACTATATACTGAACGTGATGCTATTAAAACACTAAATAAATAATTTATTTACATGCATTTGATTTATTTTGAAAATACCAAAACACAGCAAACACCATTCCAACTGGTTTGTTAATACTTTCATCCATAACAAAGGTCATGACCTCTGATTTAGGAATTTCAATAACGTCAATCATCTCCCCTTCCTCTTCTACACCACCGCCCTTTCCAGTCCGCATTTCCTCTGTTACTTCAGCATAAAAGAAATACTGCTTAGATCCTGTGGTTCCCACACCACTCCTGAAGAAGGATTTTGAAAGATTTTATTTTGCAATGATTCATCCAATATGAAAATAAGATACTAGCTATTTAAATAAACTATATGCAAGAATTAAATCTTACTGAAATTAAATCAGAAATTCAATTTACTTGTCATTTCAAAATTTTTAACATAATTTTGGGGGGAAATTGTCAATTTTCACATGGGTCAGGGTCTTTACTGGGTCTTCATGCAACAGATTTTAAGCCTAGATCATTATACTAAAAATTAATGCTGTTTAATAAAGTGAAATAATAAATTCATATTTTTAGGTAATTAGTAACATTTTTGTTTAATTCAACTACTTTGTTATGTAGGACAAATTAGACTAAGCTCATAATTAAGAAAGATCTAATGAAGAGTATTTCTGTCAAGATATATTAAACTGTATTTCAGTACGTAAAGGAAACAACAACTACTAGAGGGGAAAAGGTATAAGCACTTCATATTTCCTACATGTTGCAAAATAAATAAAAAGAAATATTTGTTCCTAAATACAAAGTTAAATACATGTACCTGGAAATCTACGCACATGTGTAATATGAAGAAATGTTTGAGGAATGGTGGGAAGCTACATATTTTATTTCTTGAATTATTCATTTGATATCTACAGAAACATGCACTCTAAGACAGTTTTATAGCTTTTAAATACATTCTGTCTTTAGCAGTCTGTTTTTGGATATTTTCTTCTTCTGGAATAATATTGCTGTATAAAGAAGTTTATTTGGACTGAATATGATTAAATGAAATTTTTAAGAATGTGAAATGTCAACTGCATCCGAACTCACTAAATATCAATTTTCACAATGTATTGTAAAATCTTTAAATATAATCCTGAGAATTAAGGAAATGCTTAATTCACATAAAGGAATAAATAAGTGCTAAGAAATGACAGCATTTGTGAAAATGCAAAATACAGCACAGGCAATCACAAACTTCATTTATATTCAACTAAATTATTAATAATAATGCTTCAATTTCAGACAAATGTCTGTATGCGTTCATACCAAACTGTTAGGGTACTTAACCTCTGTATACTTTTAATTATTTACGTAGCATAATTTCATGCTCAACAAAATATTATTGCCTGCATATGAATATGCAGTAAGAAATTATCATTTTATCATCTGAAATCTAGATCCTGCAGATCTATTAAAAACGTCCTAAACCTGACGTTTAATTTATCTATGTCAACCTTTTCCCACCATTCATATACATCCTTAGAACCTAGGATCGCATAGTTTGATCTGTCAAATGATTATCTAATAATAGTTGAGTCTGGACAATATTTTAAAACATATGCGATTCATCATTTTCCTTGCAGATCCTCATAGAATTATTTTTAATGTTAATGCCTGATATTCTATACTTCCGTATTGTTCTTCACAAATAGACATGGATATAAAATCTAGACGTATCATGATAATGCACAGCAATATCAACTTCTTTATTATTGTAATGTACCCTTAGAACATGCATTTTTAATCCCAATTTATGTTAATGAATTGTAGTTCCACATTTTTCTTTGTTACACAGGCATTTTCATTCAGACGCTGACACAAGAAACTGCAAGATCTTAACACAGCATAGCACAGCACATAATTTATGAACTGAATTCACCAGTAGTTAGAAACTGAATACTTGTATTGTTATCTGTCTTGTGATTCTATCTAATTGTATGTAGAGACTTAAGTATGTGGAGCTTCACACAATGCATATTACAAACGTTAACCACTTTAAAAATAATTTCTTTATTGGCAAGGTAATTTATGAAGCAAAGAGAGACAGAAGGGGAGGGGGTTTGAATATAATCATCCATTTTGCATATTTCAGATATTATCTAATTCATTAATGATAAACACAGAATTACTCTTTGCTTTTAAAAATTGCCAATTTTAGTCACATCTATTCAATTATTTAGGTCTCATTTACATCATCAACCAGCATAGCTTTCCATTTATCGAAACATCTATGAAAGTTAATGAACGAAAAACTTCACAACATCATATTAGACAAGATTTTGGAATACACAGCACCCAGATTAGTCAAGTTGTACTGTATATCCTTCAAACAACTCACCTGTAGGAAGTCACATGTTCTATTGAGTCTAAAGGAACATCAAATCCACATTCTTCTAGGATCTCCATTTTGGCTATTTCTGCAGGACTGACATCCTTGTCTATCAAACCTGCACACAGTTCATAGGTAATCCCCAGTGAGCCTGGATATTTATCTGAATCAATTGTTACTTTGTCATTCTTCTGTTCAGTTTCACAGTTATTCAGGTAAATAGCTGAAAAAAAAAATTATAAAGTTTGTAAATAAAAATATTTCATGGTTTTCATCCCTGTTTTAGTGATGCTGAGCTTTGTGGTATGCATATGAAATTAGAATTTATATGAAGAAAATGAAATCCTTCAAGATGTTTTTTTCTTACCTGGTCTAAACTGTTTAACAAAGACAAAGGAATCATTGGACTTGTTGTACAAGAGAATGGCAATGCTGAAAATAAAATATATTAATATATAGCTATAATCACTGCTTGCTCATCAGACTGGACTCTCATACACATGTACAGTTAAAGAGATCTACCATGTGATGTAAAAGGAACAAAAGGAAAGCTACAGTAAATAAACAATTTGAAATACTAGTAGATAGAAGTATGTACTTTATTAATTATATTAGACCATTAAGATAAATAATTGAAATCATCATTTGCATAAACATTTCCATTATGTAAGGAAACAAGTAAAATATCTGACAGTAACCACTCTGCTAACTAAAAAAGAGCACTATTATTAAAAGTCTCATCAACCCTCATTCGTAACTACTCGGCCATTTTCCGAAAGAGAAAATCATTCACGGAAATGGTCGAGTAGTTATTTATCGTTCACGGAAATGGCCTAGTAGTTACGATTGATCAACCTTCTGTATTTCTTGAAAATTGAGTATGCATATTTGAGGTTATCTCCCTTTCATCATGCCAAATTCAGAAAATTTTCTAGCATCTACATCCTTTACTGGATTTAATCAAAACAGAATTGATTATGCCTTCCTCTAGGTATAATACACTGCCACAATATCATAAATTGCTTGCAATATTTTGTGGAATTTGCCATCCTAACCCCCCCCCCCCCCCCCCCATAAAAACTGTAGTTATATAATACAAATGTAACTCTATAATTTGTGAGTTGGGGTCTATATATTTTTTTTTGGTAACAAGATAAATAAAATTAAAATAATCTCCAGTACCTGTGGCTAATCTTCTAGAAAAGTTTAAATAATTCATTTGAAAAGCTTGCTTTCTATTGAATGAAAACAAGCCAAAGAAAGATAATTCAATTGTTAAAAAATTGAAAGATATAAGGAAGTTCATAAATTATAAGATTTATCATTTTGGGTATTATGAGAGAATTAATTAGTGAAACACAAGAAAGTTTACATGTTTGATTATTTGGGGTAAAAAGAAGATCAAAGTTGAAATTTATTTATTATTTAATAATACACATGTATTTGAAAAACTTAATTGAGGATCAGGTTATATAGTTTTGAAATATATATATCTGAGTTGACATACCTATTATGAACTTGCATTGCATCCCAAATTTTGTCTGATCCATTCTGAAGAAAACAATAAAGTACCAGAATCAGTAAGTGTGTTGTGCACGTGGTGTGTTTCATTTTGAAGTAGGAATGATATTATCATTATTGTTTTTTGCATCAAACCTATCAACTGTAACATTTCTGAGACCTACTAGTCTAGATACATGTATAACTGAGGGGTGTGGGGTGTGGGTAAATGTCTTAATTCTTGAGAAGTGTACAAGCTTTCTAACAACTTATCAGAAAATAGTTTTAAATTATTTTGTGTATTTTTTTAAAAATAGAAATAGGTTGTTAATATTGGAACTCTTAATGCTACAAATGTTTATTGTGTTTAAGATAATTTAAAAGTAGTGTAAACAAACCTAATATTAAAGTTTTCTTCATTTAAAAATACACAGTTGATTATCCTATATCCATGAAAAAACACGTACAACAAGATAAAAGTGCCAATTGAGACATGCAGAAAAATAATAAATATACTAATGATCATAGTTCAGGTAACAGTACCAATACAAGCAAAAGAAAATAAATGAAAAACTTAACAAGAGAAATAATTAAAATTTGGGAAATTGGATTATGCATAGCATAATTTCTTTTCCCCACGAAATGGAGAGTTTAATTGGTGGACCCAAAAATGACTAAACCATTTTGAGACTTTACATCCTCTTTATATTATTCTCCAATCTATCAAAGCATTGTCCCCAAAATTACTTTGTACTTCTATATCAAGATTTAAAATTTGGCAGGCATTTAATTAAAAGCATCACTTAAAAAAACAATGTCCCAATACATGCATCTATTCTTAATTTTTCAGGACTTTTCATATTGCCCCTAATGCAGTATTCAGGGAACTTACTCATCATGTTCTTTTATAAGGTCCCAAATTTTATCTTCTCTATTCTAAAGAAAATAAAGAATTATATATAGATAATAATAATGTTTATCACATTTGTAAAGTAAAAAATTAAAAAAAAAACTTTAGATATGTGTATTAATGCATGCCCCATATATGAATCCAGGATGCTTATAGACAATAGAAATTGGGTCACATGTTAGATTGTCCTGATTTTCGTTTTCTACAATTAATCTGAGGATGCTCTTTCTCCTTTCATCTTTGAACTCTCAGGTCCAATTAATAAAGTAATTTTTTATCATAAAAATTCTTCATCTCTTTTGGTATCTTAAATTATGCATTTGTAATGGTTTGGGCTGTGGATATTGGCCTGAATAGCTCAACTGGTAGAGCACCTGAATAGTGATGCAGGGGTCCTGGGTTCAATTCATGGTCCGGACATACATTTTCTCCCCTCCTGTTACAGATTTGGTGCCATTGACCACCCCTGGAATTGCAAGTGAAAGTCCTGCCAGGGGCTAATAAGAACTTAATTGGGTTGTGTCTTCAAGGGCAAAGACCATTTAAGGAGGAAGGAATGTAATGGTTTGGGCTGAGGTATAATTGGCCTGGATATATAGCTCAGTTGGTAGAGCACCTGACTAGTGATGCTGGAGTTGTGGGTTCGATTCCTGGTTCAGACATACATTTTCTTCTTTCCTGTTACACAGATTATCAAATCTGAAACTCTTCAGAACTTGTTGGGCTCAATACCTTGTAAATCTTTTATAAGATGTATGGGATCTGGATCAGACCACATTAAGTTAATTATTATTGCATCATAAATGGTAAACAGGAGCAACCAGGCATTAAAACTTTGGTGAAGCAATGATGATGATGCAATGATGCTATTATAATGCTATGAAAATGATGTGATAGCAAACATCATGACACTTCATCTTTATCATACCACTGCATCATCTTGCCATTGCTCCATCATGTCTGCCGCATCACTATAATCATTGCACCATCAAATCATTGTCATCGCATTACTGACCCAAACTTTGATGGTGCTATAGTAAACTATGACCTTGTCTATTCTGTGTTGCTGTCAGGTGACTGCTTGTGGTCAGATACTATTTGATAGACAACCTCAATAGTGACTGGGTGGGGACATGATGCTGGATTCAAATCCTGTATACTGGTCAGTTTTCTTTTGCATGCGTAATTTACAGTACATGTCCAGATTCCATATAACTCATTCTTCAGTACTGAGTTCAGATGTGTGACCAAAGGGTTATTTTTTTAAAATGATCAATTTCATAATTTATGTATATCAATTAAGTCAGTACCCTTCCTGCTTCTGAAAAAAATTGAAGGGAAGATAATCTGAAGTCTTAAAGAGGAGATAGGTGTCCAAATGTACAAGCATGTCTGAAATTTTATGTACGTAACTTGGTGTCCACAGTGACTGTTTTTAGGACAATAAGCTATTCTTTTCTGGTGAATCCTTTTTGAAGTATATAAACACTAGTTTGCATGTTTTATTGCATGACTTATTTCTGCTTTATTCCATTACAATTAGAAAATATATCCAAGACTACCAATGGACACCGTTACTTACATAAGCACTAAACAAGTAACATGTTACTAGAATTTAACAAGTTGTTAAAATATGAAAATAATGTAATCAATAAGGTATGATGAAATCATGTTTAATGTTATATTAAATGGAATTTATTTTAAAAAGTCACAATTTTTATTTCTAGTTTCAAAAAAGGAGAAATTATGTAAGTAACATGGACACCTAACTCCGAATCAGGCTTTAAAAAGGAACAAAAAAAATAACAAGACAATCGAACACTTGTCTTTAATACTTTTAATATTTCATTTCAAGGCTTAATAATAGACAAGCTTTAAAAGAGATATAATGCAGACAAGTAAATTGTCAGATGAATAACTAAATATCCTAGGTCTTCTATTTTGAGTCTTGGATCTTTGTGTCATTGTTACGAACATAATTCAGTCATTTCTTGTAAATCTGAAAGAAAAAAAAATATATAAAACAAAATACAACATGATGTAATCAACACATATGCTGTTTAATTATATTTATTATATATCCTTGATAAAATCAGAAAGAAGGCAATTAAAGTACAAATTATGTCACTACTTCAAGTTTTCGTGTCTCTGTTACGAACGTAATTACGTAAATGATATGGCAATATTAAAACAAATATTCAATAAGTATTCATCCTTTGATAAGAGCAGGAAAAAACTAACAAATATAGAATAAAATATAGTACAATATAACTTTATCATTAATAGATTATACAAATAATGCAAAAACACTTTTGTTCGTAACAAAAGTCAAATGTTAAACCGAAAGTACTCGACTCGGACATATTTATGCAATTTGTATGGTCATAAGAGACATATTTCAGTTTCTGATTAATAGCTACATGGTATAAAGATACAATGACTGTATTTATGTGTTAAACATTCACTAAAATTGATACAATATGAAAATACTTACCGAATCTATTATGTTCGTAACTTCTTTTTTTCCACATGGACACAATGAGCATCGCCATGTTTTTTAGCAGACAGCTGCACAACCTTTCTACTTTCGTTTTTAATTTATAATTACACCACTGCTATGGACTTTCTGAGCCAAACTTATGATTCATTGGCTGTTATTTTAGCAATCATACTAAAAGCTATTATGTTCGTAACGGTCAAGACACCAAATATTTTACAGAGATCATTTTAAAATTACAAAAAGAAATGAGTTATGTTCACGAATCCGGGATGTTTCGCGCCGATTCTGTTTCGCACTGCGATGTTTCGCGCCGGGATGATTCGCTCCGATTTCGGTGCGAAACATCTCCACTCTTTTTTTTTTATAGTTCATTTATTTTGTAATAATTTAAGACCTTTTATTAAATCTTAGATATAAATAAGTGTTGTATGCTCAGACTCATGACTTTATAATATGCGGTACCACAGGTAACGTATCGTAAATGTTGATATGGCGCTCAGTGTGTGTGTTCAGCTATTTACTTGTAATTAGCTAGAGATCAAAAGGTGAGAATTAATTCATAACAGCAATTATAAGGTCGTACAGCAATTATCTGACTGAACTTGAAAACTTATAATTTGTGTTAATGTGAACATGTTTATAGAATAATCTATCGGGAAGTTTGATTGTCAAACAATTTATATTTTCTTTAATAGTCAATAAAACTTTATAGCTGATTTTACCTGATTCATGAATCTGATTTAACAATTTTACAATCAGAATTAATAATCAATATTATGTTTCAAAAAAGATGACAACCCCCTAACTGTATACATTTAATTTATTTTACCAATAATTTAATGTTCACAGGAGTCAGAAATCAATTTTCATTAAAAAACATAATTGTTTTCATTTGAACAAATCAATAAAATATTTTAACATTGAAATGCTGAAATAAAATTTGAAAGAATTAAAAATTTACAGCATTTATGTGCATGCAAAAGGGATATTTGATTTATACAATTTAGATCACCAACTTTTTTTACGATATGTTATTCATGATATTATGCAGAAAATATTAACTTCAAATCAATGTATATATTGTATCTTTCATATTTTCATAATGCTGACTAGTGTAAGTGCTGATTATGCATAATGCATAAATTATTTTTTACCTTTTCTTTCTTTTTTATTTTGCAAAAGAAAAAAGGACAAAAACAATAGAAATTCGTTTTACTTCATGATTTTATTTTTATTTCTTCAAGACATTTAAACAAGTAGACAAAATAGCATCAACACAAAGCAATAGAATAAATATGTCACAGTATTATATATACTTGTTGCATATAATCACATCACACAGTAATAGCACAAATGTTCTAGAATGTCACAAATGTCTCAAGAGAAATTTCACTGCAATATAATATTATCACATCACATAGTAATAGCACAAATGTTCTAGAATGTCACAAATGTCTGAAAAGAAATGTCACTGCAATATAATATTATCACATCACATAGTAATAGCACAAATGTTCTAGAATGTCACAGTCACTGCACTATAATATTATCACATCACATAGTAATAGCACAAATGTCCTAGAATGTCACAGTCACTGCACTTCACTACACACAATCACTGGAATGGGGCTGCATAAATGGAACCGCAGGTCTTCAGGTAGGCTGCCACTCTGGTCCTCACAACATCGGCTTCTCTGCTGAGTAGGGGCACCAACTGGTAGAAGCTGAGGGATAGGCCGCGTGCCTTGGAGTTCATCCGGTGATGCCATCCTGTAAAAGAACACATACTATTAGTGAGGTTTCACTTCAAATTCTATTGAAAGATATCTATTAAAAAGAATTATTCTCTCCTATTATTCTTTCATTTCTTCTTTCATTTTTCATAGGTGTATTTGCTGCTTTACATAATGAAAAACAATAAAATAAAATAAAAATAATAATTTACCTTCCACATCATTGTTGGTTCGGATGGTGAACTGGTAGACACTCCAGGAGCGAATTGGAAACAGAGGGTTCTGAATCCACTGGGTCCTGATGTAGGTTGTGAGTGGCTGGAGGGCGGCTGGAGCTCTTTCTTCCATGACACGGAAGACATCTGCGATGTGGGTCCATGGAAGGAAAGGCAAGGCCAGCAGTTGCTTTATGAAGTTGTGGGTCCCCTCTCGTTCTCTGAATGTCGTGACAAGGCCAAGCTGCTGTACATGGGTCCAGACTGCCTTCGTCCAGTGGAAAACACAGCCCTTCAAGGTCACGGTTGGGAATACCTCTCGGATGGCCTGCCATGCACCTGAAATTAAATAGACAAAATTAAAATAACAAAAAAACATTGGAAAGCACAGAAAATTTAAAAAGTATATATAATACTGTGACATTGCTATTATTATATATAATTAAATACTTATTATAATTGAATTCTTCTCTAATATATTCATATAGATAGATATGCATTAAATACTTATTATAATTGAATTCTTCTCTAATATATTCATATAGATAGATATGCATTTCAAAAAAAAATCTTTACCTGCTTCGAAGTCAGCTGTCACCATTTCCACCGAAGAATTTCCCAGTCTTTCCTTCACTGCCCTGAAAACCTGAAAACAACAACAAAATATATTATTATCATGTTTATATAAAAAAAAGTTGTTTAATATCTGAAAAATTACATTTTCATTTCAACTAAAAATGTATGAAATTTACCTCAATGTAGTCTTCTTTTCGTCGCCGGGACATCAAAGCGAACAGCAAAGGGAACTGCATGGACTTGCCGTCTTTGTGGACAAAGGCGTGTATGGACATCAGTTGACCGTTTGGCTTGAGGAAGGAAGGAACTATCTGGAAAAAGAACAGACATGTTATTTATTTCTGTATATATGTAGATTTAAATAAATAAATTATCTTTCTTTGCATTTTTCTATAGTAAACAGTTTATGAATTTATTTTTATTTTATTTATAAATTAATAATCATACCTTAAATGTGCCATCTATGAACCATCTCTTGGCTTGGCGCAGGATCTCAAGCTGGTGGTCTGTAGCAAATACCAGATGTCTCTCTTCGCCAACTCGAACATCAGCTATGAGGAACTCCTGGCACTGGAGGAAGTCCATGTTAATCTGAAAAAAAGTCAATGCATTATAACATTCTATTTTTTAAAAGTATAAAATCTAATTATGTTTCAAGTAATACATGTATTTGCAGAATTCTTGAGAAAGAGAAAAAATATCTTACCTCAAAGTCCAAATCTGTGGGGTCTTTAGGTCGGAATGCAGCCCTGTAGTTGTTCACGTATCTCTTGACGTTGGAGATCTTTGGGGCAAGGAACCTGTTGTCAATGGTGTCAGCAATGGTGGCCTCGACGATTTCCCTTGCTGGACGAAAGACCTGGTCCACAGCAACTTCCTTTGCCTAAAATTCAAGAATATTTTGATAACTTGCAACATAATTTCAAATCTTAAACATCAATATTAAACTTATTTTCCAAAACTTTCAAGTATTTGTATTTTCTTACAAATATATTTTTTAATTTTTTTTACCTCAGCTGAGACTTTCTTGAGAAGTGGCAGCTTAAGGTCCCCTGGGTGTTGATGTGCATTGGGTCCTCGCACAAAGGAGTTGCCTCGCTGGAGTACTGTGGCATGGCATCTCATCTTAGCTGACCTCACACTACACGTCCACATGGTCGTCTCCTTGTTCTTCCGCTGTGAAATAAAATAATCAAATTTATAAAATAGTGCTGAAGTACATGGTATAATTTAAGTTCTACAATAAATCTTTTGAAGAATTATAATATATATATATCTTACCTTCACTCCATATGTAAAGCCGTCAGTTGAAACAAGTAAGGCACCACCCCTCTTGCTCCCCTTCTCCAGAACTTCAAAGCGGACTTCTTCTTCATCTATAACGGTGTCATCAAGGTCCTCATGTAAGGTTCTACAATAAAAAAAATATTGTGTATATACCAATTAACACTTAAAATTTGTGACATCAAAAGTAATGTATAAAATATATTTTCTGATACGAATGTAAAAAAATTAAAGATTAAATCTTTTTCATTTTATATTTTGTTTTTTATACCTCTCCTGTGGCTCTTCGTCGCTGTCCTCCACATCCCGCCGATGAGAAATGTCGAAGTCGGAGGACTCCAATGCTTCAAGGGGCCGGAACACTGGCTCGGGATCATCTGACAATGTGGAGACGTCCATGGCTGGTACATGGGGAATCAGCAGCCGAGGGGGGGAAGCAGGCGTGCCAATGGGTGCCACACTGGGACTGGAAGGTGGTGTAGGATGCCCCTCTATGGATGTCGATTGAAGAACCGATGCTGATACTTCCATAGGCTGAAACATAATAAAAACCTGATCATTAAGATTAAGTTAAAATGCAAAATAATTTTTGTGAAGATGTGTAATTAAAAAAAAACTTTTGTGAAAAAGGAAAACTTTCTTTAATTACAATGCATATCAAAATTTACCAAACTATGGTCGCCTCTCTCCTCTTTACACTTCGAGCATGTGAACTCGAAGTCATCCCTGCTCCTAACAAGGTCTCTGTAGTCTTGTCTGGTGACACCTGTAAAACCAGTAGAAATAATGCAAATTTCATGACATTGAAATAATGTTGGTTTATTTTTGGGTATAACTATAAAATATAAACTTTAAAAATGGTTTTTGAACATTTGATTACATGTTTTTAATCCAATAAATTTTTTAAATTTTTTAAATTTTTAAATTTAAAAAAAAATGACTTACCTGAATTGCAAGTCCTATGTTGCCATCTGTTGCACGCATCACATATGAGTGCTTCTTGTCGTGGGCGGACAAGATTGCTGCAAACCACACAAACATCTGAAACAAATAAGGAATGTTAACATACAACAGCATAAATAATAATATTATTTTAAGTTTCTACTACAAGTATTTTATATATTTTTATATATATTTTATATTTTATGGCTATATAAAATTCTAAATTAATAGACTGATATATCTTTTAATTAAAAAAAAAACCAGCTATAAACTTATAAGCATTAGCCCATTTCCAGACATACCTGCCATTGCTGTAGTCTGAAAGACTGATGCTTAATTCAGAAAAGGTTACCAATATTTATACTTATCTTGATCTCCTAATTATCACTTGTCTCATCATTATGTACTCCAGTCTCCAAATTTTAGTTGATAGCTTCTCCAAGCCAGCAAATTTAAGTTGATAGGTTCCCCAAGCCGGCAAATAATTACGGAATTAATTAATTAAATGGCGGTATGCTAAAGTAACTACTATGAACATAATTATCAGTGTAAAAATAATAAACAATTAGACTAAGTACTTCAAATAAACATATACAATCAAAATATTAATTAATATTCTACAAAATTTCGAAATTGATATCAATATGAACAGACATGATAATTTTTTATTTTTTTCCCCAAAACATACGAAATAAAGATAGCATACATTATATGTTCTGGGAGCGAAACATCGCGGGGCGAACCATCTCAGCGCGAAACAGAATAGGCGCGAAACATCGCGGTGCGAACCATGCATCGGGGCGAAACATCCCGTTACCATGTTCACGAAGCATATTGTTAAAAATAATTTATCACACATACTCATTAATTAAACACAGAAACTGAACTTGACAAATTATTTAATGTTTGTAGAGAGGTGTTAAAAAGTTCAATGCATATGGACACCATGCGTTACGAACATAAACCACAATTTTTTAAGTTCAGGAAAAAATAATTAAGATCATTTTAGCATGTTTGACAAAATAAATATATTATTTCATTTATATGCTAAGATAATGTACACAAATATCATGCCAAATGATTTTATTTTTAAATAAAACAACATCTTTATGCCTATTCGAAAATTATGTCACATTTTCTGCATCTGAAATCCCCTAAATGCAATACAACAATGATCAATATTTTTTTTATTCCTCAACTTATATCCATGAAACTATTTATACTATATCCTTACACAAGTATCAAATCATATCAATATCAATCTATCTGCTTACACTTTATTTATTGGAAAATAAAGGAAAAAAGAAATACATTTTAAAAATTCACCAGTATTGAAGAATGAGTTATATAGATGTGATGTTTCTTTTAAAACTTGTTAAGCTTTTGTAAAAAAATTTATCAACTTCATTAAAAAAAAAAATTAAAATAGCCCCAAAGTAAAATTTATGATATATATATAATGATTCTGGACCAAATAAAAGGATTTTTTTTAGTAGCTTTACCTGTTTGTATCTTAAACGCAGTGGTTTTATATATCGAGATTTTGTACATTCTTCAACGTAGACGTCAGTAATTCTTTCCATAGCTTTGTAGTTCCCCACTACCTAAAACATAAACTTTATAAGTGATCAAGTTGTTTCGTTTCCTAGTGTATATTTGTGGTCGGGTTCGATGTTCAATATTCAATCTGGGGGTTTGAAACGCTTGTAAACAAAGAACGTTACGTTGCGGAAAAGAAGGTGATACGCATATTTGGTCAAATAACCAAAATTATGGAAAATGGCTATGAGAAATGTATTTTCGACACCTGAGTATAGACAAGACAGATTGTTGGAGGTATAATTTTAGCTTTATACTTTTGCATTTTTGAAAAGGAGTTTTGACATATTTATTTTCATCGTATTCACCTAGATGTTTGTGTAATAATTCGTCGATCTCAAATTGCGACATAGTAACACAATCAAAGTAAAATATTTTATTGTTATGTAATGAATAAGTATGGTTTACTCCAAATTGAAAATACTTGGTCAAGAAACCATTCAATTTCAATTTAATAAAACCACCCTTGCAACTTGTGTATTACAGCTGTTAGCTTTCAAATGTTAAACATTTGTTGAATAAGCTTAAACTTTAAAGATGCATTTAAAAAGATGAAGTATTTAGTTATTGTAAGTATAACAATATTGCCGTTTTTATCAAGGAAATTCACGATAAAAATAACAATGAAAAAAGGATGACTGTTACAAAAGGGAGGTAATCAGCAACTGTTAAAGAGATACTTTATGATTTTGATTGTCATCAATTTTAATGCCGAACTTGAGAAAAATACTTATTTGTAATTTAAGTTATGTTTTGAAAGAAGTTGACAATATTAAGACAGGTATTAATACTGTAGGTTCAATGAAAAAAAATAAGGATGAGTAGTGGATTATGGAAATGATTTTTATCTGCATGGCATTGATATTCAGATTACACTCTTGATGATGTTTGAATGTCAGATATTCATTTCTATTTCTTCAGTCAAGAAAATCTATTGAATAAAAACAGAATTTTCATTTTATGCATGCATGATGCATTTTTTCTTTGGTTAATTTATTTGGGCGAATGATGTAATTGGTTATATTTGTATAGTGCATGGTTCAACAGTGTTAAGAGGGATTATTGCCAACTCAATAATATATGAAAATTAACATTCAAACATTTCTTTAATATTCAAAATAGGACAAAAAGACTTGGGATTAACAATAAGGGAAAGGGCAGGGTGAAAGATAGCTTCAGAACTGTAGCTCTCTGTGTGAGAAAATTTGGACAGATAAAGCAGAGAGCTACAGATCTATGCATTGTTAAAACCTTCCATTTACGCCAACAAGTTTTTGTTGCTCACTTCAGGTATTATTTGTTGTAGTTTATGTTTTTTTACGCTATTAGAATAGTATCTGATAATTAATCATATATTTTTACCCCAATTATTGATTATTTACCTTTCAACGGTCCAAAACAATCTTCTATGGATTTGGAAAGTTGGTTTAAAAGATCCAGTTTTTACACCAAATTGTTCTTCTTGAACTGTTGAAAGGTAATTTAACATTTAGGAATAGGAGTTAAATGTATGGATAATTATCAGATATCATTTATAAAGCTGGGGAAAACTTAAAATATTAGAAATAATTCCTGAAGTGAGCGACAAAAAATCGGTGGTGTAAATCGAAGGTTTTTACAATGCCTGGATCTGTAGCTACCTACTTTATCTGTCCAAATTTTCTCAAGCAGATCGAGAGCTAAAGTTCTGCAGCTATGTGAAAGATAACTAGGATGAACTGCATCAAAGGATGGACAAAAGTACATTCACAATTCAGTAATACAGATGCTATACAAAAAATTGTTTTACTCTGATGAGATTTTTTTGGAGGGGCAGAGAGGGTAGTTTCTAATAGATTTTGAAAGGATAAACAGAACTTTTCAGAATAAATGACTTATTACTATAGATCACCAAATTATTGTGACACCTTATTTTCACAAGATAGTCATTGACTCTTGACGAGGGAGACAAAATTTGTACGAATGGTGGTAATTGCTCAATTTAATCCTAAGGAATCTATTATTTGCGAGAATTAAATTTTTGTGAGCACATTGTGTTGCATAATTAATTTATGCTAGAATAAAGTTCTCGCGAATAAAAAGTGATTAACAGTATATGGGTTTATGTTTTTTCATACAATTATATCAGATTGATGTTTATTTTTTACAGGAATGGTTGACCAGTTGTAAACAGGGAAACCTTTTATCAGCACTGAAGAAGCATTGGAAAACATTTGTTCTCTGTGTCTATGGCAACAGTCATGATGCAGCTAAAGAAGAACGCCTGGCCAGAAAGTTCTTGTTTCGACCAATGGAATATTTTCTTTGTCAAAAAGATCCAGAGGTCGTATTTGAGGAACTGCAGTCCAAGAACATGCCATCACAGCTCTGTGGAAAGGTCTTCAAAACAGGAGAACCAACTTATTCCTGCAGGTAGACTTTGCTAAGATTTGAAAGAAAAAAGTTTAATTATATGGAAAGAACACATTCTCTCAACTTAATTTTTAGTCTAGAAAAAGATCTGACATTGGTTAAGACAGCCACTAGTAAGCCTCAGTATATTGAAGTATAAACATTTAATCTTTCAAAACTTCATAAATCTTGTTTTTGTTTTAAAAGTCACCACCATAAATATGTGTTTTACCATTGATTTTTCAACATGTATAAATTCGTTTTTTTCAGAGACTGTGCAAATGATCCCACATGTGTTCTTTGTATAGACTGCTTCCAGAATGGAGCACACAAAAACCATAGATACAAGGTAAGCATGGTCTCAATAAATAGATATTAAAAATGACATTTTCTTTCATGATTCCAGATCAGTTAAGCAAAATAGGTTACTGTAGAAGTACTTTTTTCACAAATTTTCTGCGGAAATTTGTCCAAGCGTACTTAATATAAATGTAAGGCATAAAGTAATAGTAATTTTCTACAGAAATTGAGATTCCGCGGAATTATGACCCCGTGGAAAAAAGTATGTCTACAGTAATTTTGAACATTTGATTCTCAGTTATTAGCCTGTAATTTGGATGGGAGTAATAAATAACTTCACCATTACTGATATTATTTACAGATGAACACCTCTGGGGGTGGAGGGTACTGTGACTGTGGGGATCAGGAAGCCTGGACCTCACACCCCTTCTGTGACCTACATTCTCCCAAGGAGGCCAGCCAGGATGAGAGGAATCCCATCGAGACCCTCCCCGTGGACCTGACAGACAGGGCCAGTGCCCTGTTTATGGCCACCCTGCGATACATCGTAGAGTTATTGACGTGGAGCCAGTGTGATAACCTACCATCTGATCTACAGCCCGAGGGGGAACTCAGTGATACCTACATCACCATGTTGTTCAACGACGAGGTTCACACTTACGATCAGGTGGGTACTGTGTATACTGATATCAAAATGGTAATGTATAAACTATATTGCTCAAAGTATTGATAAGTGATTTCTAAACAAATGTACAGTCTGTGTATGATACGAAAGAATTTTAGAATTGAAATAAGAGATAGGTGTAAAAAAAAAAACTAAATTTGATCCTCATGAATTTTCAGATCTGATTCACTCTCCCATATATTTTTAGCATATAATTTTCAGCATTACATGAATTAACTGCAAAGACCTGATACATGTGCCTAAGTCTTAGAGATTAATTCCATGAATATTACATGTATTTTATGTTGTGTTCTATTATGTATGCATGTATATGTACATCGAGATGTTCGTTTTCTTGTGTTCTTTAAAGTTACCAATACTTTTCAATAATATTTTTTCTATTTAGGTAATAAAAACCCTACAGAGAGCTGTCAAACACTGTACAGCACAGCAGGCTCGGGAATTTGCCACCCTTGTTGACAGAGAGGTAATCAGGAGAAATTGCAAATGATACATGTACACATGTACTGACTGTTAGATCTAATGTTTTGAAATTGATTCAGAAATGCACATTCCTGTAATTCCAAATATTGTGCTTGGTTTCTGTGTATTTCATCTTTTATTTTTGTTTTTAGGGTCGAGCCACTGTGTACTCTGGATGTTTTGCTTCCTGTGAACAATGTAGAACTATAATAGATGTAAGTATCATAATAATGTGTTCTGTATTATTATTTGTTTTCCATCCATCAACAAATGGGTCCTCAGTAAGATTTATACAAGTGCATGCAAAAAAAAATATAATCCAAAACAAAGAGTCTACAGATTTTTCAATTTATGCAGATATCCTCACAAAGCATTAAGTTAGTTCCTTTTTCAAAGCTGTTGATTTCTTTATGATCATGCATAATCAAAAATGCTTCCAGTTCTTCTTAAACATGACATACTGAAAAGCTGACTAATTTTATCTCAAAAACAAAATCAGATTAATTATTTAAACACAAAATAAGATTTAATTTCTCTGTTTTGCAGCAAAGCACCTCCAGACATGGAAGTAAGCCCCTGAAGGTTCAAGTGATGCATACAGTTGTGGTGGCTCACCAGACCTTCTGCCTTAAACTGATGGTGTGGCTCCAGAAAATGATAGAAAAGTCAGGTAGGATGTCAAGCTTTGAACAAGGGATTGGTCAGGGTACATAATATTGTATAGCAAATTTTAATTTAATCAATGTAAGCTTCTGCTGAACAGAGTAGTTCTTGTTCTCAGTACTGTATGTGTAAATATTGATAAATTGACATGAATTGTATTTATCTCTGATGTAAAATGGTATTCATTAAAAACATGCATGTCCACATGAAAGCCGCTGAAATGTGAAACCTGCTTATTTAATACACACGTAAGACTATACTTTCCTTAGAAGTTAGATAATTTTAAGACTGCTTTTGTAGATGGACTACGTCGATTGTTTTGTCTCCTGAGTATGAAGCCCCAGGAAGATGGCCAGTCTTTGATGGAGAAACTGCTGCTCCATGACACACAATTGTGGAAAGGTATTTAAGGAGAATACAAAACTGGAAAAGCTATATTTGTAACTTCTCAATTTGAGGAAAAGGTTGAAAGACTAGACAAAGTGTTTTTGTAAAGAGAAGTTCATTTTCCTTTGATTACATTCTTTTTTCCATCTTGATAAAAATTATCTCTCAAATGGCTAGTATTATTCAGCATTGACTTTTCCTTGAGAAAATAAAGGAACTTTAATCATTTTTCAGTGGCCAGAATATTGAGTCACCAGCTTCTGATGGCTGGGTAAGTACACTTGTACTTGTATTAAATATGTTGTGACTGATACAACTCATCTCTCAATAATTAATTTAAGAATATTGCATCTTTTTTAAAGAAATGAAAATTAATCATGAAATGGACAATTATAATTTTACTTGTGACTTTCAGAGTTTTAATGGATCAAGAATGCAAGAAACAGTTTGCTGTTATTTTCACAAAGGTAGGAGTGAATATGAGAATTTCACCTGCTTGATAGATAGCAATTCTACCAATTGAATATAAAAAAATTTTCATTTCTATGATGGAAAAAAATTTGAAAAATTTGCAAATTATTATTTATATAATTTAAACAGGTTGATCACACATGTATAATTAGACCAATGTATATATTCATTTAAAAAAAAATGACATGCAGTATAATTTTTATGGAAATTATTGTAGCTGTGTAAAATTTTAATGTGTTCTTCCACATTGCTTCAAAACTCAAGTTAGAAATAAGATTAAAGGATACCAGCAGTTTAACTCTTAAAAGAGGTTCACCTGAAATGGATATCAAACAACATGGTCAGGAGATGAACTTAGAGGAATGAATATTACACATTATTTGTGATTATCATTAACAGTGGTATCCTAACGTGATGCATGACTTTGCTCGTGATGACCACGATCACGACGTGTGTGTTGCCTCGCTCTCCGTACAAATTTACACGGTTCCTAGTCTGGTACGTTTATATGCTTGGATCTCTCGGCATTTCTACTTTTTGCTGAAAACACATGCTGAGTGTAGAGACAGTTAATCAATCCTGAAAAAAATTCTTAATGATTTGATCTCTCCTGTAGAAAAAAAAACGTTTAGGTGAATGAATCACTATATTGCAAAATTAAGCATGCACATCTGGTGATAGATACAAATTTTGCAATATTTTAGGAACCACAACTGAAACACCTCTACTTTCAGTGTAGTGTTTGGTATGGCTCTCACAATCAGCAGTGTTAAAGTACAAAAGTAGAAGTGCTTGGGGACGGAAGGGGAGGAGTGTGGTGTTGGGGAACTGTAGAACACCCTACAGATCAACACACGCCCCCTCTCCTCAAGTAATATTTCTATGTTTGATGGTATGTTTTGTTCTTGTAGCATTATTCCATGCTAATGTCGGAGTTTTTGCTGGACACCCATTATCGCCCAGTCTCGATTACCTCTCTCTCTGTTCAAATTTTTGCCGTAGGAACAGTGGTAGGTCTCCGAAGTTTGTACCCCCCACAGCTCTGTACGACCTTCATATGTCTTCTCTGGAGAACAATCTCTAAGTCAGAAATTTCTAATTGTTATCTGTTAATGAATCGAGAGAGAAAAGTTCAGATGGTTTAGAGGTTGTGACTCATGCTGTATCTATGTGGAGTTCTCAATTTTTTTCTTTTAAGGATAATTCAAAACTCTGTTGTTAGTTTCCCTGACTCTTGATTTTAATACATGTACACGTAGAACTTAATTTTCCCAAACAATAACTCAATTCTACTTTGTTTAGGAGACACAGTCGATGGAGATATTTGCACTTTAGAAGGTTGCACATACTAAGAAAAGTAGTCATAGTGCTTTTTTCTTGATATGAATATTTATAAACTTTTTAATTTTCATATGAATGATTGAAGCATTTTATTTTCAAATACACACAAAGCATCCTAAACATGATATAAAGCCATACATCTTTTTGAAATGCATATGTGCATGTACATTCAGTCATTAATTAAAAAAAGCTATAGTTTTAAATAATCTCCTTTTATAATTCATAATTTCTTTGAATGAAGTATTGCCAGTTGTATTTTTACATGTACATATATATTGGTTCATTTAGAAACCACATCTGCTTTACTATATAATCACCATGAGAGCTCCACATATTTACATTCATTCAATACATATGCATCAGTCATGCTGCTGCATACATTCATTGCAAATGGGTACAGGGTAGTGCAAAAAAAGCTGCTATACAAATATTCGCAAAATTATTTTAATCAGTGAAGATATAGTACTCTATTTTATATTTTTAGCTAAAAAAGCAGGTTGATTGTATTTGTACATGCATAGCTGCATTTTCAATATGGCCTCCATTTATATTATCCTGCCATGTTTATTATGTTGAACACAAACACAGGATATACAGATACTTTAATATAGACTGGGATATCCAGCAGAAAAATTGTTAGATAATAGATAGATAAATGTACATGTTAACATACATGTATTAGTATTCTGTAAACGATTTCTTAAAGATACCCTGTATGTAAGAATGTTGCTGATGTATAGAGAGGTTTACCCGATGCTGTTCTTGGCCAATTATGCGGACATACATGTATGTCGCTAACTTGAAAGAAAAATCAACCTTCACACATTGCTATTAAACTCACTTTTGTGACAATGACTGAACAATTTTTTTTTTATTATGTACATTTACCAGGTAAACAGAGATATAAATGAAAAAAAAAAACCTGACATTTCTTCAAAGATACATATATGTGTATGTCATATTGCTAGTTACCATGTAAACCGTATGCACAGATTTAGTACTTATTAAACATATTTAACCAGAAGTGCTTTTGTACAAGGTGTGTAACTTGTTAAACATACTGCCTTGTTGCCTGTCTTTAAAAATGAAAACTTAACTAGTTAGTGAGATATACTGTGTTTTCCATTGTCCAGGCCCGGATGCTGGTAACAGATCACGATTTGTTGAACGTTATTCTTGTCCCTTTCCTGGAAGCTTGTCAGGAAAAGATTAATGGTAAGATATGATTTCTTTTTTTCCGAATGGTACATGTATATTTTTGGATGAGGTAATTTTCACTGTTTACTTACCCTTATGGATACAGTCATACTGCGTAATTTTTCAAATTGGTAAAAATGAAAAATTGTTCAAAACTTTTGAAAATGTGTACATGTTTATACAGTTAAAGTATGAAGATTATGCAGTATGTTTATGCATTTTACATGTTTATCTGCAGTAAATGATTTGTATGCTTTAAAAAGTTATAGCAGTGAAGCCAGTAATGATTAATTGTATGTTATATATTTATTTCAGCTCATGGTGTCCTTTCTTTAAATAAAGCAGAGCGGACCCCTTCATTCAAGCGAGCTTGCTTTATGCTGTATGATCTCAAGTAAGTATCAAAAACAATCAATTTATTATGGTCTTAATGTAAATCCTGACAAAATACATTGCAAAATGATTTAGGTGAGTCGCATTAGATGGACCACTTTGAACTGGAAAGGAATTTTTTATAATGCTTAATTTCAAAGTAAGAAAAGTCAAATTTAGGTACATGTACAGCATTTTGACCTAGAAGGCATCTTCAAATTTTGTTGTGCCGAGTACAGTAAATTAAATTTTGTCCAAAAATGAAATATTGGTAAAAAAACTGGGACCAAATGTCTTGTACATGTAGGAGATAAAGGCTAATCAGAATTAAAAACAAAAAAAACAAAAAAACAAAAACTTGGATATGTACATATTTTTGGTATTGATGTTTTATTAAAAGAGTATGTGACAATGTGTGTATATTAATTAAAGTCTTTCTTGTTGAGAGTTACTGATAAATATTTAAACTAACAGTTGTGTGTTTTGTTATGTGATGTAGGTATGCGCTGATCTGTAAACCTGGGCCTGATGAGTGGAATGACAAACTAAGGGACAGCTTTCTCAGGGGACATGAGTCTTTCCTAAGACTTCTGAAAATTATGCAGGTTAGTTATTCTAACACATACAATACACAAAGAACAAGCACCAACAAGATTGCTAGAATTGAGAAATTGGATAAAAAAATAGGTATTAATTTGCACCTTATCAAAGAACATTAATGAAACCCATGTGATTTTTCTGTAGTTACTATAGAATTGTTCTGTCTGTGAACAGGGTATGGATGAAGTGAAGCGACAGACAGGGATGCACCTGGAGTATGAACCTGAGTGGGAGGGAGCGTTTAACCTCCAGATGAGGGTCGATGATGTCATCGCCTCCTTTACAGAATGGTGCAGCACTGATGTAAGAAACATATCTCATTAAAATTATTTTGTTCATTTTACTGTGTCCATATAAACCATCATTTCAAGGTGGTTATGCACACTCAGTTGTTGAAAAAAGAAAATCCATGTGTTTGTCGTAGGTAATGTTTTGCTTTTACTATATTATCAAGGTTAATCACCAAGTAGAGACATTAAAAAGTTTAAAGATTGTAAGAAAACAATTTTTTTATTTTTTCAGAGGACTGTATTTATAGAAGCTTACAAGAAAGCTGCCCAGATGTTATTAGAGTGTAGAGACACAGCTCAGAAATCAGAACAGCAGACAGGTATGTGGAAGAATTTACAGTAAAAGACTGAAGGATGTCCATCCATGATTTAAGGTGAATGATGATAGAAATGGCCAAAAAATTAACATTGTCATCAGAAAGTTTTAACAAAAGGTTATTGTTTAGCTGATTTTGTCCTATAGGCAGTTGTTTTAGAAACACAGGGATAAGACTGTACATGTGTATAAAAATTTTAATTTTTTCATTGCAGTTTGTGGACACACTGTGAAGTGCATTAAGTATGACATTCAAACTCAGCCTGTCTCCATTCATCTCCCTCTCTCAAGATATCTTGCAGGTAAACTTCAATGTTTTAGTAGTCTTCCTCAGTCTTCTTTTTCTCCTATACAATTGTCTGAAATTATGGATTTACTTATGAATTCTGTTCTTCGCTAGTTGTGAAATATTTTTGCATTCATTTGAAGTCAGAGAATAAATTATGAATTTATATATTTACAGGTCTTCTTGTCAATATGGGAAAATTCAACCTGCAGTTTGGATGTCCAGAACTGAGTGTCAAGGTAGGGAGACTTTTAAGTGAAATCTGTAGAGATATTCCTTATTAACAACTCCATGATGCAAGGATTCAGTCATATTAGTGTAGATGACAGAGTAAGTTCAATATAAATAAATGTCTTTATTTCTCAGAATCTGGACCCTGTGAGGATGATTGAGCCACCATTGAGAGTACAAGTCATGATTGCTCAGAGCCAAGCTGGACTTTGGAGAAGAAATGGATATGCACTTCTCAACCAGGTCATATAGACATGTTCCTCTTGCAATTATGACAAGCTATTGCTGTTAAATAGCAAATTTACTTGTTTAGCAATAATTCTCATAGACCTTTTTTTTGCACAGTTTTAATTTGTCAAATCTTGCTTTCAAATTTAATTTGAAAAGTTTTTGGAAAAATGATTTTCTGTTGTGTTTTCAGATTTATTTTTACCATAATGTAAAGTGTAGACAGGAGATGTACGACAAGGACATCATGATGCTTCAGGTTAGTTGTCTCCCTTGCAAAATTTAAGAAAAAAGTTTTGTTTGACCACAGTAAAGACTATAGTTGGAAAAGTTAGTAGGACAGGAATGGGGCTTCTATTGGTACATGAAAAATTAGGATTACATGGTACCTAACCATTATTTTGTAGTCGGAAAAAAAAGCTCAGAGCAAATTTTTGTTGTTGATGTACCCGACTTTAAATAAATATTATCTTATCTTTATTTTTTTTTTTTTAAAAGGGGATCAGTGAGAAAAAAAATGCATATTGCAATTGTTATCTTCATGTACAGTATGTCAGAAGGTTGTAATTTAGTCCAAAATATATTGTTGCATCTTAGCATATGTATTCCATATTCTAGATTGGAGCTTCAGTTCTGGAGAGTAATGAGTTCCTGATTCATTTACTGAACAGATATGGACTACTGGTTTGGATCAAGTAAGCTGTTTTGTCTTTATCTTATATTATCTGAAAATCAGTGCAAGCATATTAATTTAGGATCAGTCCTCTGAAGAAGTATCAGGCCCATCTGGATTTTAAAATTTCTATATTAAAAACTAGAGGTACTGTGAGCAATGAGCTCACTAAATGATACGCCTGCCTCCCATATGAATATAATGGGAGTGTCCATGTTTTGTTGTGGGAAACCCAAAATATGTGTCAGATCAAAAAGTAAAATAGGAGGTGCACAATGGCAATATGTAATAAAGATTCTATGAAAGTTTCATCAAATTTCATTCAGTGGTATGAGAGGAGTTGCGGATAAGAGATGAGTACCCCAAAGCGTAACAGACAGACGGATGGACGTACTGACAGGCGGACGGGCATACATTCCAATTACTATATACCCTTTCGCTTTTCAAGCGGGGGGTATAATAACGTCCTTACAATGACACAGTGCTAAAATATTGTTAGGGTGCATCTGTGACTCCTTTAGACTCTGGGGTGTTTGAGATGCATTTGGGATTTGCCCTGTTAAAGAGCATCAAACCAGTTTTGAAAATTGTTTTTAAAAAATTATTTTACTACTTAAATAAACTTTATAAGAATGTGTTTGATTATAAAATTGCTGTAAAAATTCTGTTTCACATGTTTTACTACCTGAATTATTTACATTGCAGACCGGAATATGATGTGCCCACAGGACAAGATGACAATGTACGCCAGACTATCATGTTAGCTGAGGAATTTCTTAACCTGGTGCTTATTATATTAGGTATGTACTGTTGCCATTTAGATGCCATTATTGTACATGTATTGCATAAAGAACTAAAAACTATAAAGTAACATACTGGCAAAGCTTCGGTCATGTATTTTTGCAATTTTAATTGCAGTGTCAATTAAATGTACATGTTAAATGCATAGTATAAAACTTTCCAATTTGTACTTTTTTGAATTAAGGTGAGAGATATGTTCCTGGACTAGGGCAGGTGACAAGGGAGGATACTCTTAAAAGGGAGATAATCCATCTCTTGTGTATTTCTCCCATGTCCAACAGTGAGCTGTCCAAGCATTTACCAGATAATGTAAGTACATTTACATCTGTAGTTGTATAAAAAATCTTAAAATAGTACATGTAGGTCTGAAACAAGTTGATGTTCTCAATTAAACATTCACTAGTGAAAGTACAAGTACATGTATAGCTAGCAGTATAAATATGGAATCAATACAAAAATAGTGAATGTACAAGAAACATGATGAATTTCTGTTTTTGATAAATGAATTTTTAGCTCACCTGAGCCGAAGGCTCAAGTGAGCTTTTCTGATCACATTTTGTCCGGCGTCCGTCTGTCCGTCTGTCTGTCCGTCTGTCTGTCTGTCTGTCCGTCCGTCTGTCTGTAAACTTTTCACATTTTCGACTTCTTCTCAAGAACCGCTGGGCCAATTTCAATCAAACTTGGCACAAAGTATCCTTGGGTAAAGGGGATTCAAGTTTGTTCAAATGAAGGGCCACACCCTTTTCCAAGGGGAGATAATTATGAATTAGAGAAAAATTAATGGCATTTTTAAAAAATCTTCTTCTCAAGAACCACTGGGCCAGGAAAGCTGAAACTCATGTGGAATCATCTTCAGGTAGTGTAGATTCAAGTTTGTTCAAATCATGACCCCCGGGGCTAGGGTGGGGCCAAAATGGCCGACCCAAGTTTTACATAGGAATATATACGAAAAATCTTTAAAAATCTTCTTCTCCAGAACCACTGGGCCAGGAAAGATGAAACTCATGTGGAATCATCCTCAGGTAGTGTAGATTCAAGTTTGTTCAAATCATGACCCCCGGGGCTAGGGTGGGGCCAAAATGGCCGTAGTTTTACATAGGAATATAGAGGAAAAATCTTTAAAAATCTTCTTCTCAAGAACCACTGGGCCAGGAAAGATGAAACTCATGTGGAATCATCCTCAGGTAGTGTAGATTCAAGTTTGTTCAAATCATGACCCCCGGGGCTAGGGTGGGGCCAAAATGACCGACCCAAGTTTTACATAGGAATATATAGGAAAAATCTTTAAAAATCTTCTTCTCATGAACCACTGTGCCAAGAAAGATGAAACTTATGGGGTGACTTCCTCAGGTAATGTAGATTCAAGTTTGTTAAAATCATGACCCCCGGGGCTAGGGTGGGGCCAAATGGCTGACCCAAATTTTACAAAGGGATATATAGGGAAACCTTTTAAAATCTTCTTTTCAAGTACTTCAAAGCTATGATTAGTGATATTTATACGGAATCATCCTCAGGTAGTGTAGATTCTATTTTGTTCAAATGATGAATGCCTGGGGGGGGGGGGTTAAATTCAAGCCCGATGTGCTCAGGTGAGCGCTGTGGCCCCTGGGCCTCTTGTTGACTTTGTTTTATCTCAGACCAGTATGGAGGCAGGCATTGAGGATTCTATTCATGCAGTTGCAAACTTTAGGTATGTAAAATACTGGTACTTCGGGAATAAATTGGCAAACATTTTACGTTTACTATATACTGTAAACCAACTTTTATTCGCAATGACTTTATTTCGCGATTTACTGGGGGTAAACTAGTTTTCGACGATTAATTTTTCGCGATCAGGCCTTTTTTTTATCTGTTGTTAATAGACACAGAGACTTTAAGGACCAGTTCATGGCGAGAAATATTCGCGATGACGAGGCTCTCGCGAACTTCGCAAAAATTTCTCACACACGAATAAAAATGGGTTTACAGTAATTAAATTGAAAATATTCTCTATTTACATGCATATTTTTGTGTTTTTTTTTTAAAAAGAAAACCAGCCTCCACCATAGGAACAGCGGGATCTGGAAAGTTTGAACTGAAGAAAGAATGTTACAAAGAATTCAATCCCTATTTTTACCATTTTTGTCGAACTGACCAATCACAGGTAAGATTATACAGAGTTTTTACCGATACTCATTTAGCTATGCCGATGCCTATTTAAGTTATTCTTTTCTTTTAAAATGTGGGTAAAAGGAAGTGTATTATTATTTTTTAACAAATGGATCCACTTAAGATTGAGTAAATCTTGGTGTAAATGTAATATAAATTTGGTATTTGTTTTATTAAATATGGTACGTTCTTCATTATTAAAATACATAATAATTTTTTATCACTTTTCTTTCTCGGATTCAGGCAGAAGAGACACAAATTAAAAGAAAGAAAGAAGAAAAGTCTGAAAGTCATGGTAAGGTCTATTGAGCTGAATTTGATTGCAAGCCATTGTAAAAATAAAAAAAAAAAAAAAGAAACTGACTAAGTACATGTATTTGAATACTTAATTTTCTTTCATAATAATGGTACTTGACTGTTGAAATACTGTGATGGATTTCATCTAACAAATATACAGTGTGTCATTAGTAAGCAGATGAAGACGCATTTATTTATCAACTTCTTTTAATTTATACACAGCCCTGCCTCCTCCCGTCCCTCCACGTTTTACCCCCCAATTTGAGAGGATCTCCAACCTGCTCCAGTGTGATATCATGGTGCACATCCTCAGCCTCATCCTACAGAGGAGTGTGGCGAACCGATCACGGTCCTGGTCTGAGACGCAACTCGATAGGGTATGTAGACAAAAGAATAACACTGATTTCAGATTGTATTTAATTAAATGATGATTGAAAACTTAACTAGACATATTTTATATTAATATGAAAAAAATATGACAGCAAATTATTGTAGGAAGAAGAGATTATGAAAAGCTATTTTTATAGAATGTTTACAATTTTTCTAGGTTTTGCATTTGATTGGATTAGCTCTTCATGAACAAAGGCGAAATATTCAAGATGGGCATCATGGCTTTGATTTCATGGACAAGGCTTTAAGAGGTACATATTCTTTTGAGAATATTTGATACACAATATATATTGCATTGACAAAGTTTTGTTATTACAACACATTCAGTATCACTTTACAAATCTTGGGTAAACCTTTAATGTGTTGTAGGTGAACCTAACTTGATGCAGTTACTAGAATCATTAGTGGCTGATCCCAAGAATATCTCCCATGATTCAACCAAGGACTTGTTGTCGTGGATTCTAAAGGTACACTCATACACATTATAATTTACAGTATAAATAAGCCACACTTCCTTTCAAGACATTACTAAGTGCATCTGTTCGTTTAACCATAATCTGTTTAGTCTGATTTAAAGTTTGTCAATAATTGACTTGATCTAATACTTAAGGTCCTTTTACTCCTGTAACCTCATGAAAAGAAGGGCAATGACAGATTTTCATGTCATTTATCAATAAGTAAATGTAGAAAAGTCAACACTATTGAAATGAGAATATGTACATGTATATCTGTTAGTGATATTTCAAACAGAGTTTTGTAAGTGCAGTTTACATTGTGATTGCTTTCTCTCCACAGAAGTTTGTTGAGGTGAGGCAGATGACAAGCTCCTCAGAGGCTCACAGTTCTTTTGAACAAGTCAGCTCCACTAGCAAGGAGGAGAACGAAGCTGCCAAGAAAAGAAAAGCCAGGCTGGCAGCCAAAAGGAAAGAGAAAATTATTGCCAAAATCTCCCAAATGCAACAGAACTTCATCCGAGACAATGCTGATTTGTTTGAGTCGACGGATGCTGATACATCCCTCACTCGTGGTGCTTCAGAAATGGACATCAGGTAACTGTTCAGTTTTTGTTTTCCAATTTGGTTATTGCTAATGATTTTTAAAATCTTTTTTTTCTTATTCCCGAAGTGTTATATACTAGGTTGTGATTTACAAAAATTTGTGATGTGTTAGCTATAAATTGCCAGTAGTGAGGACATTATTTCTTAATTAGATTACCTATCTTAGTATTAAGCAGAATATGAAAAACAATCCATTTTAGATTGTGGATTTGGCAAAATAATTTGAATATATAATAAATTGTGCATGTAAAATATGTGTTGTGTAAGGTTTAAGCCATTTCTTTACTGTGGTTGTCAGAGAAATTATATGTACAGTTTATTAATAGATGCATATACACTGTATGACATGTAATTCACAAATAATGATTCTTTTTTTCCAGTGAGAGTGCACATCATGAATCCCCTGTGGCCCTTGGCAAGTACTTGAGTACTCCATGTAGTATAGGCATCACCAAGGCAACCTGCATTCTGTGTCAGGAAGAACAGGAAATCTCCCACAATTCAAGAGCCATGGTGCTGGCAGGATTTGTGCAAAGGTAAAATTTCTTTGTACATGTAAATGTACATTGAACATATTGATTAATTAATACGAATCTGTGCATAAACATAGATGCTAAAAATATTAAGTACATTATAAAATACACAAATTCATTTGTTTCAGATCAACTGTGATGTCCCAATGTAAAAACAAAGAGTTTCCTGATGGTGAAAACTTTGATCCTCTCTTCACAAGTTCAGATCTCTTTGTGGGAACTTTTACTAACTCCTGTGGTCACACAATGCATGCTGACTGCTGGCAGAGGTAGGATGTGCCGCGCTTTTACTACATTTCAAACAAATTCTAGCATTCAAATTGCAGAGGCCTCTGAAGTTTGATTTTCCTAGTTTTAAGACACTAAAGCTCTCTGAATGCATTTTGTGAGTTCAATTTACATGCACATACTATGCATATGATTTACACAAATTACAGATGGGCATAATTCTTTGATTATTGTCATTGTTATACCGTAAATGTACTATATTTAGCGTGTACGATATTTGGCGGAAATTGATTTTTGAACAAGTTAGCGTAGATTTGATTTAGCGCATTTCTTAATGTTCTTAGTAATGCATATAATGTTGAAGAGATTTAGCGTTGTACTTGAATTAGCGGAAGTTTCTTTCCGCCAAAAACGCTAAAAACAATACACCGCCAAATGTAATACATTTACAGTAGCTCTGTGAATATGACAAAGATTTGCTTAGTTTAAGAATAATTATTATAAATGCTTACTGATTACCTTACTACTTTCCACCTCTTCTGACATGCTGATTTGTTCTCGTTTAGTTTCTTCCAAGCCATTCTAGTCAAGGAGAGGCGTCGCCTGTCGCGGATCCCCCACTCCCTGAGTTATAACATAGTACAGCTAGAGTATCTGTGTCCTCTCTGTGAGAGCCTAAGCAATACTGTGATACCCCTGATACCACCTCTACATACCCTGGTCTCAGACAGGTAAACAGTGTCATATGTTACTGTTGAATTGTTGTTCATAGGGGACCAATGTTAATGGGATTACTGGGTTGCTCTTACCCATGAATATACATCTGCACTAACAATTTTGTCAAAGTATTTGTTCATAGAATCATCTGTATACATACATGCACAAGTTTTTAGGAAATTACATTCCCATGACTCTGTGAAAGATTGCATAGAAACATTACCCCCTCCCCCTAAAATTTAATATATTGTATATTTTTATTTCAGTGATATAAGCAGTGTAGATTTGGGTTTTGGAGACTGGTTGGATGGGTTGCAGAAAACAGTAGAAAAGTCAACTAAACAAGACACAAGTGCCAGTAAAGGTTTGCTTGTAATTTACTACTGAACAGAATAAAAATTAACATGATTCTTTATATGCATTTAACACCACCATTAATCACTGTAATTTCATTACTATAGTGAATGGACATTACCAGACAAGGACTTTCATTCTTTTACTTGTAAATTTATAGATAAAGGCAACTTTACCAGATACATGAAAAGTAATCTACTAGTATTTTTAATCATCATGTTACTTTGTTACTTATTTGATGAGCCTCTTTTTCAGATGACCCCTTTCCTCTTCTGCCCTGTCCACTGAGCAGTATTACCAAACTGATGGCCGACAGCGTGGCCAGCAATTTCCAGTTACTGTGGCATTACGTCAGCAATACATCAGGGTAATTACTATAAAACCGTATAAACAAAAAAAGAAAGTTTGGTTCTCATGTGCATATGTATTCATTCAAGATGACCACATACATGTAGCAGAATTTATTGTATTTTCAATAAAAAAAAGTTATTTGGAGAGTCTTGAGTCCAAGATCATTAAATTTGCTAATACTAGTATACTAGTACAAAATTGTCATTGCAGATACCGGGTGCAAGTACTGTATAAACTAGTATACATGTACATAAATGAACTTTTTTTAAAGTAATGTTAAAGTATTTACTTTCTTTTTTACAGTGGTCGATTCAGTGAAAGTTTGGTGGAAATGATGAAAAAGTTTGCAAAAGATGTTTACTCAGTAAGTAAATTAAACAAACTTTTTTCCTTCACTGTTTGATAAGGTCTTTATAATTAACTGTATAATTTTTATCTTTTTCTAATGCTCACTTCTCTTGTAATTGCAAAGATTCAGCTTTTATTGCATAACTGGAATCTAAACCTCACTAAATTCATTGCTTTTCACCCCCAAATACATTCATATAAACAAAATGAAGTGAATCTGAGGCTTGTCTTTACAGTTTGGTTTGAGTGTAGATCCAGACGACGTCAACTCCAGGATCCCAATCATGGCTTGGAATACGTGTGCATACACAATTATCAACCTGGGTAAGCTCATATAATATGTACACTATAATATGATTATTCATTGAGGAAATCATCCATGATAGTATAAAAGAATCAAAAGAGATATAAAAAATTGTGTGCATTCTAATGGTAGATATTTAATCATTTTTTATACAGTGCAAATCACAAGTACTCTGTATCATCTAAACCAGTGCTGTTCTTGTCATAAAGAGATGTCCATTTTTCTTGATCAACATTTGCCCTGTACATTAAAAAGAAATTGTTGAATAATCCATCTGCCCAAAGTTAATTCTGTATCACTATACTCGTTCATTGTATTCACTATTCTTAAATATTGGACTTTTAAAACTAGAGGTTATCGTAAAGATTGCCTTAACTTCATGTCACTATTCCCTGATTACAGAGCAATACCTGAGAGATGAGATGAAGCCTTTGTTTGGTACCTCCCCCTCCAGAAACATAGACTGTATCAATGCCCTGGTCAAGTTTGCTGCTGTGTGTGGTCAGGTCATGCCCCAGGAAGTCATTAAGAAGCATTGCCTGAGACTACTGTCAGGTAAAGTCTTTTGTCTTCAAAACATTTTACCAAAACACTGCAATACTGTAAACCAACTTTTATTGGCGTGCGAGAAATTTTAGCAAGATTCGCGAGAGCCTCTTCATCGTGAATATTTCTTGCTGCGAACCAGTCCTTAAGTCTATCTATTAGCAACTGATCAAAAAAAGCCTTGATCGCGAAAATAAATCATCGCGAACTACTAAAGCCTCAAGAAAACACGAAATAAAGTCGTCGTGAATAAAAGTTGGTTTACAGTATTTGCAATACACTGTAATAAAATTCTTTTATTCTTAATATTAAGCTTAATATTTGCCTATAAATGTTGGGCCAAAGTTTTTATTTTTTTTGGTTTACAATTTTTTGACACAAAAATATGCGTTGGGCGGTCGAAAAATAAAAATAAAAATAATTTGGAACCTTGACATATTTTTTTCTCCAGTAGCATTGAAATGTATTCAGATGCCTTGATACTGTTGATGGTTTTCATTCTTCTGACTTTCAAGTCTGAGTTTCCATAATAGACACATTGCACGGGTAAAATTAAGTGAATCTGCTATTCTCTGGTCAACCTTTCCACATATGAAAAAGTTTTTGGAAACTCTGAAAGTCATGGACTGCTTTCACAACAAACTTTCACCTTAAGATATGTGTGTCCAGGGACCAATTAACCCAGACCCAAAATTTAAGGAGACATTTCTCCATCAAAGAAATTTAGGGAGAAGTTTTGAAATTTAGGGAGACTTCTTGGAGCGTATGTGGCACACATTAATCGTTATAAAACTATTTCATTGTTTATAAATTACAAACATTTCAATAATTTTTCTGCATAAACATTGTATTTAAAATGATTTAATAAGAGAAAAAGAATCTTAAAAGAAATTTCCCCCAATTACAAGGTATATAAATATCTAGAAAGAATTAATAACACAACATTGACATTAAATAAAATTTACTACTATGTGTACTACAATTAAAATGTAAAAGTTTCTTATCAGATTAATTGTTTATCAAACATTTTTTTTTTCATTTCTTACATAGTAGCACAACCTTAAACTTCTAAAATTTCTCTTCTCATTAGATTTCCAGACTTTTGGCATAGTCATAATTTTGTTAATTTCTCTTCAAACTTTGTTTTAAATATAAAATTCATTTTCTAATAAAAGTTTTGACGCACTTCTGCATACCGATTGAACTACACTTATGTTTATCGGATCCGATGTGTAACTTCTTAAGAAGTTGATAACTTCACAATTTAACAGTAAAAATATGCCTGTATTCACAGCATGAATTAATTATTTGACAATAAAAAGATCTAAAATCTTCTCCAACATCTTTGGCATGACATCGATAGCTGTCCAGCTGTTTTGCGTCTTGTGTATAACTTGTAACGATGGACTTTTTCATACCCGGAAGTGTTAAATTTAGAGGAGTTCCGACGGAGTATTCGATGCATTGGTCATTAATAGTACAGAAACAGTCTGTAAGCGAGTCGCCCCCTAGGTTGGTCCTTGCACTGTCCCGCCATGTGGTTTGACAATCTGTGTTGTAAATTATAAAAACTGTCGTTTGGTCGAGAAAATTTCGGATTAAGAGTTCAGTCTCTAGAGCCAGACACATTATTTTTATTTTTGTAAATAGGGAAAAATAGGGTCGGCAGAATTGTAAACCAAGAGAAAAAAAAACTTTGGCCTTGCTAATAAAATTTCACTTTTCTGTCAATTGTTTACTGAATATGCCCGAAATTCATGGAAGCAGATTATATCAATGTTTCTCCTTTTAATGTTTGCATTACAGGGTTACTAACAAGAGGCTTAGAGAAGGGTAAAGATCCCCAGTGTATACTGGACATTGACCTCTTCCACTACCTCACCGCAGTCACCATGGCACTACCCAGTCTGTACACAGAGGGAGGGGCATCCAGCAGTCTGCCACTGAACAGCCTGAACAACCAGTACATACTACAGCTGGTCCTGACCGCACACGTGGTACAGGCCATGCTGCTGTATGATAAACCAACCGAGGGGGAGGATCAAGGTAAAAAGGGCTTCTGTAGGTGAATTAGGTTAATCTAGCACAAACATGTATTACAGAGATTTTGGATTGCTGTGTGCAATATTTAATGTACATCAGTAGTGATATGATGTGGTGGTACAGATGGACTAGGATTGAAACCTGTTAGTGTTCTTATCCTCTTCATTCAATGGCATGAGATTATTGCACAAGAAAACGTGAGAATTTCTCCTATCATTTGCATAGCTTTATCAGAAACATTAATGCCCTGTTAACATGGTGAGTTTAACTCGCAGTAAATTAATGCAAAAGTAAAATAATATGAATTAAACTAATGCGAATTAAACTGCATTCACATGACAGGTTATGCGAAGTAAACTAATGCAAAATTTATTTGTACAAAAGGCTTTTCAACGATCCTATTAAGGATGTCATTTTCAAAATAGCATCTTCTTATGTAGAGCAGATCCATTTGACTTAATGTTGTAGTGTCTCTACACATTTTAGTGATCAACAAAATAATTCTTTGCTTTTCACTCAAAATTAACACAGGTACTTCGATCTCACCACTGTGATGTGTTCAAGACTTAATTTTGCTATTACCAATTTTGCCAATTTTGAACAGGGCATAAGATGGCTAATTTTGGTATGATATTTTACAGAAAAATTATTTCTAAAAGTTTTCACAAAAACAAAGAATTGTTAAATTTCAGCTGACATGGAAATGGAAAGTGATGTGGAGTCCATTGCCCTCATGTCTATTTATACAGAGATCAGGAGAAAAGCTGGGTATGATTCTCGTCCCATATTAAGTTTGTTTCCAAAATATGTAGCCAAAGAATAATATCCATAACATAAAATCATACAGCTGTACTTTATGAAAAATGTTGAGTTTCATAGAAGGGCTAGTACACTGTACTAGTTTTTTAAACAAGTAGAGCTACACTCTCATCAGAGACTGTTCTTTAATTTTTTAGCTTGGGACATAACATGTACTTTAGTACATGTAACTGCTTTCTTATCTTCATAACATTGCTCTTCAATATAGTGCAGTTACCCACCTTACATGTATAAGTATGTACTTACTAAACTAATATAGAAAAAAATTGTATCTGGTTAAAAATGTTGCCTGTCAGAACTTTGTTTATGTTTTTATCAATGTTTTTTTTTAAACTGAAGATGTCTACCACCCAGTAATTCAGACCCCTTACCATGGCAACTGTCCAAACACATACATGATGCTGTCCTGCCATTTTTGAGATGTTCCACGGTATTGTACCACAATCTGACAGGGGTCCCCATCCCAGCCAGGCTTCAGGGTAAGTCTGTGTCTGTTTTAATTTGCTCTTCAAAGAAATGAGTAGAAAGTCTAAATTCTTGTTAAGAAAGCTTTTTTGCATCATCTTTAGTCTCCCTTTTCTACCCATTTATGTTCACGATATATGGCCATAACATTAATAATTGACTATTCTTGAACTGTTCAGTGAATTCCTGTAAGAGTAAAGGGGAAAAAGAGTGTATTTTGTTTTAAAAAAAGATCAGACAAAGCTTGTGCTGAGGTTGAATATCTATGACTTGTGTTTATTAAATTGGCTTTTAATGACAGACTGGACAGAGGAGATGGAGCCATTCTGTTCCTACCTCTCCCTGCCAGCTAACTTCTCAGAACTATTCCTCAACCAGGGAGATCTACTGGACGGATTACTCAATCAGTAAGTCTTATCTGAAGAGTCAGTCATAATCTGGTGATTGTGACCTGAACATTTTTGGAAATATTTTTACTGCATTTGATTTTAGGTAATTTACATATGTGCAGATACCTGTTTGATATGTGCAGATACCTGTTTGTTGATAAAGCAGTTTTGAGTTATTTTTTTGTTGGAAACATTGAACATGTATCATGTGTCTATTGCAACAAAATAATATGATATTTGACAACTGATGTTGCCCTTTGTTTCTATTCTTGGAATATTTTCTGACTGTTTTTGCTGTTTTATGTTACAGATGGTGCAGTAGTGAGATCCTGAGGTCAAGGTTATCCTCCGCTACATCTCAGTCCCTAGTGTCTTATCCTCTACCTGTCAATCATCTAATTGATCTACCAGATGACTACAGCCAACTGATCAATCAAATCTCCTCATTCACGTAAGTTACTCCGCCCCCTTCCAAAATAAGAATAGACTTTTGCCACATTCTTTAAAGTAATGGTATCTTTTATTTTATGTCAAAACCCCAGAACAAGTTTAACTGGTGGTCAAAAGTTAACCACTGGTAAAGGATTTATTTTTTGTTTAGCTTTAACCAGTGTTTTAATACTATACAGTCCTAGTTAATACTTATCATGTTAAATTTATTAATAAGATATTTTCATTTTAGATGTCCCAGTTCTAATGGCAATGACAGTCAGCTTCCCACCATGTGTTTGGTGTGTGGGGTCGTTGTATGCTCTCAGAGCTACTGTTGTCAGACGGAGGTCAAGGACACCAAAGTAGGCGCGGCCACGGAGCACACACTCAGGTGTGGAGCCGGCGTGGGGATCCTCCTTAGGTAAAATCTACTCTCAGTGACTTAAATTCTTGAAGTTTGTGTAACGGTGAACTTCCTCATTGATTGGTGGTTTTCATTTATCAATTACAAAAAAAAATTAATTTTCTTGGCAAGTACTTTGTTTTAATTAATACTCATACTTTTCTTTGTTTCAGGGTTCGAGAGTGTCAGATCGTTCTCTTAGCTGGAACTAAAGGTTGCTTCATCCCAGCTCCTTATGTTGATAGTTATGGAGAGACAGATCAAGGCTTAAGGTGAGAACAAGACAACAGGTCCACATAATGTTTCTGCATTTAATCACCATTTTGCCTTTTGGATACATGTACTGTACTACATAAATTTTAAAAATTGTGTTTTCTGTCATTTTTGCTCATGTGAAGTTAACCGGGTATCACTTTTTGCAGAAGAGGCAACCCTCTCCATTTGTGTAAAGACAGCTACAAAAATTTACAGAAGATGTGGTTCACACATTGTATCCCAGAGACAGTGGCCCACAACATAGAATCTCATATGAACTTGATGAGCATTCATTGGCAGCATCTTTGATGATAGCTGACTGTATAGGTAGTGGCCAGAAAGTCCATGATGTCGTAGAGAATCTACAGCCAGAGGGCATAGGTAGAAGAAAACCTTTAGCCATATGAGAAAAAGAATTTAAAAAAGGGCGTGCACAGGGACAAGTTAAAAAATCAGTCATTCTATGTTATTTCTACTTTAAAATTGGTGTGATGGCATTATTTTATGTTATTTCTCTTGCTAATTCTGTTAATTTTATGTGAAAAGCAATTTGGTGAAGAGAATGGATGCAGATTTCTGTTTCTTTTTTAATAAGGTAATGTATATGTACATGTATATTGATGTAGAGATTATTGCAAAAATGAAAATGTTCCAATATGATGATTTACATACCAGTAAATTCCTTATGTGAAGGACTAGTAGTAAATTTTGATATGTACATACATATACATGTATACTTCTAAATTAATTACCTAGAGCTGTTCATTCAGAAAAAAATAATGATACTGAAAATATTGAAGCCTACAATCTTTCAATATTTCACGTATATAGAAAGCATCGTGTTCAGTGATACATATCAAATAACCGCCTCAGGAGGTAGGAAAACCAGATTTCCTGGATTGTTGCTTATATAAGTAGTTTTTTTTTTAGTTTTTGTTTGGGCCTTGGCTGCAAGTTTTCTCAACTTTTTACATTCAGATATGCTGTCAATCAAACAGTTCTATGATATTAAAAAAACAAAACACTGAAAAGATATTCCAGTTGTGGTTAAAGTAAATGTTTACTTATAATTCTCTTTTTAAAAAGTGCTGAAAAATAATGTGCAATCTGTTTCTGAAGATTCCTGAACAATTTCTTTGTCAATTTTTCTTTATTTATGTCACTAGTTTTGGTTCAAGAGCATCACTAGTTTATATGATTTACTTTTTGTCATGATTAGCAAGTGTATATTTCTCAATTGTTTAATGGAATGTTAATTTTTTTTCTCATTAGTGCTTTTTTGTTGAAGGTTTTCTTTGTTGATGTATATATATATATATTACTCTTTATTATAAACAAGTCAATGTAAACACGGATATTTATGTGTGTTGTTTTAATTACCATCAACCAGTAGCGTTTACCAAATGCAAAAGGACTGTATTTCCTTGATACCAGTATATTTATTGTTTATGCAGAGTACAGCATGTCTGAAGGAACGGGATTGTGAAAAGATATTAATATGAATGTTATTATTTTTTAATTAGTTACATTTAATCACTCTGATGCACACATTTCTACATTTACTGTATCTGATGCCTCGATTCTCACTCCTTGAGACTGATAATATTCATATTTGTCAAGCCTTTTTATATAATGTTTGTTATTAAAATTAGGAGAGCAAAATATCTCTTTTATTTCAATATAAGTTTTGTCACTATATATGTATATTATATCAAAAAGCTGTTGAGGATTGATTTTATTTAAATACAAGCTTCTTAATGTGCAGATTAATTAGCAATATACTTCTTATATATCTTTATAAAATTGTGTTGTTGATGGTTTATGGGGATGTTGAAATTGAATAATTTACCCTGACAGCACTATTAGCTCTGTGGCAATTGTATTTGCAAAAGGTCAGTCATATATGTGTATGAAGAAATGTGTACAATGTAATATAAACAAAAAAGGCCTAAAACATGAGTGAGTTTTTGGGTATAATCGATTTCAGTAATCACTAATGATGTAAATTCTATAACCATTGATATAATTAGGGAAAAGCTGTCTTCTTGTTTGTTATTTGTCACTATTAATGCCAATTTGTTTGTTGCAAACAGTTTCTATGGGTAAGGAGTCATCAAAATGATTTACAGAACAGTTGCATTAGGATGTTGCATTCCAAAGTTCTATTTTATCCATTAAAGCAATATGAGCTGCATTTTTGAGAAATTTTGCTGGTTAAATGTGTTATTATGATTATTCTGTATGTAATCTAAACTCTTATGATCAATAAGACCAATATGAAGTTTTTAAAATGTTTCAGAAGAATATTTCTGTACAACCGAATATATAGTATTATATAAGAAATCATTATTGTATAGGACGACAATAATTCAATTTTGCTTCAATCAAAGCTTATAAAAAGTTCTTCATAGCAAATATGAACAACAGAAGTTTATAAATCTTCTATTTTTCTGTCATTGAAATAGTTAATCACAAATTTGCGACATTTTTTTCTGATGTCAAACATGCAGCTCATATTGCTTTAATGATATAATTGCATCAACTACCTAATGATACATCTTATAATAACAAAAATAACACTATTCAGGTAAACAATGTTTTTTACTCTAAAAGATGTAATGTTGGTTTTAATTAAATAAATTAATATCCACTCATAATAAAAATGAAAGTAATTTTGATTGGTTATGGTTATGATATACCTGGTACGTATATATATCATTTATGGATTTGCATCATCAGTAGTTACTGAAATAGATGACATGCTGGTAAATTTCTTGAAGAAATTGTCTTGCAATTGTACATTAAGGTAGCTGGGATTTTTATTGTTGCTTCATGCACGATAAAGCTATAACTATGAAATTTATATTTTGCAAAGCAAATTGTTGTATGCATTGTCTACAGTACCTTTCTTAACATTGTCTTTGATTTGTAAATTATAATATTTCAACACAACTGGCTTTGAAAGTGTTAAATTTTAACTGGGCTTTCATGATGATAGATTCATGTGTATATACACATATTAATGTCAAATACTGATGGATACTGATTTACAGATAACCAGCACTGTGCTGATACAAATACAAAAACCGTCTCTCAATAAGTTTAGAACAGAGTACGTACATTTTGCATGTAGTTAAAATGATATACATTAAATGATATGAAAGATCTTGATTTTATGTTGTTTTTGCATATAAACATTACTGGATTTTGTAGACTGCAATAAATGCATTTATAGAAATTCTAGAAAGGATATACCGGTTCATGTACTGTATGTAGGTATATATTCTCAATGTATAACCCCTCTCCCTATATAATGTAAGAAGAGGATTTAATAAGGACATTATTCATTGCTACAGAGTTTGTGTGAATTTCTGTGTCAGTGTGACATAGTTAAAAAATATTTTAGAAGTTGTACTTCAACCAGAACAATGCTCTTGTCGTGATTTTAAATTGGTTAAATAAAAGCTCATGAAAATCAAGAGGAGCATTCACAAAAGTGCCAAGCAAATGAATGGGTGGGCAACACAGAATCAAATTTTGGTCTTAAACTGAATATGAAATATTTTCAAAAAATCTAAGAAAAATGAATTAGCAAATTTACAAATATATTGCCAATATGTGTACATTTATTATTTTTGAAATTTGCAATCTCAATTTTTCAGGGAGTCTCGGAGATTTAAACCATGATACAAAATAAACTAAGGTGGGCATTGTAACCCATGGGCCTCTTGAGTTGTTTTACTAGCCTATTCTAATTTATTTTGAAAACATTTTTTTCTAACTTCTTAAAAATAACTTTTATTAAAGTTAAAAAATGACACATTAAATCTCATTTTTATATACAATACGAATAAGTTTATGTTTTACTTGATCATAAAATTTTTATTAGACAGGTTGTACTAAGATTAGATATATTGAATATTGGTTTTCAAACCGACAAACGTCTGAGGCTGACGGTAAATGGTAAGGGATCAATATGTTATCAACTTCTATTTGCTCACAGGAAAGTAATATGATGTATTTCGATTTTTAAGCCATAGAAAGCTTTTGTTAAACGTCAAATTCAGCTGAAACATATTAAAACTCAAACAAGACATAGAGGAAATTCGCACTTCCCCACATTCATTCGATAAATACCTGCATTAATAGGCTTACACTACAGCTTCGTGGCATATTGCCAACGGCATTAATATTATAATTAACTTTTGTGATTTTATATTAACAGGTACTTGACTGAATATGATGGAAATTTCAAGAGACTGTTCGAAACATGCTAAAAGAATCAACAAACAACAACTTGGACTTGAGACGCTGAGGTGACGTCATTTGGGAATGGGAATAGGATTGTTTGATCTTTCAACATGAGTTTCCAAGCAGAAATAATGAAAGATGACGTATTTAGCAACAGAAAGAACAGAAGTCTGAATCAAATCAATCAATTATAAACAGGGACCTATATGATAATATATACTAGTATATAGGTCCATGTTATAAATCACTGCAAAAATATAAAATCAGGAGAACAATTACTTTCATCATGTCAAGTCATAATTCAGACCCTAATCCTGAGGACTCTGACATAGAAGAGGAATCATCAGGACTTTTTGTCTGTGGCGTGTGCTCAACATCTTTTCCAAACAAAAGAAAACTGACATTCCACATGAAAAAGAAACACAATCAGTCGTGTGAGATTCCTGACTGTGAGTTGACTTGTTATGTATGTTGCAAAAAATTCTCCCAACCATATAACCTGCAGCGGCATATCAGCAGAGTGCACAAGAAAGACAAACCCTTCTCATGTGATCGCTGTGGAAAAACTTTCTCTGACAAACGAACTATGTTACATCATAGGGAGTATCAGCATTCTGAATATCGTTGTGCACTTTGTGGACTATCCTTTGATGAAAACATGAAGCTTGAAACTCATCCATGCTGTGGAATCTTCATCGAAGGTTCGGAAAAGCCATATGGGTGCAAGACATGTAAGAAATGGTTTGGAAATGGAAGTACCCTACACTTGCATGTCAGAACGCATTCCTTTATAGAGGAAGATAGTAAATTAGTTACTCATTATACATGTGGTGTTTGCACAGAGGTATTCAAGACCAGAAAGGAATTTAACGATCACATGAAAACCCACAAAAAAGATCAAGACGAAGAAAGGAAAACAACTCATGACATTGTATATCATGAGCTGGAAAAAATTATCGTAAAAAAGATTGACTCAAAAAATGGCAAGGTTCTAGTGGAATGTGATGTATGTGGGAAAAACTTGAGTATGAACTCAATTCATAAGCATAAAAAAATTCACAATGGTGAGCTCAAAATGTTAAGCTGCTCTGTTTGTGAGAAAGAATTTACATCATCACATAATCTGCAAAGACACATGAATACTGTTCATATGAATAAGAAGTCTTACTGTTGTGAACATTGTGGGAAGTTGTTTGCAGAAAAAGCTACAATGCTTTATCACAAGTACACCCAACATGCCAAAAATGCTTGTAAAACGTGTGGACTTTCTTTTGACAGTAAGTCACAGCTTCATAAACATGAATGCTATGCTGTTCTCTATGATAATGGATCAAAGAAACCTCTATATGGATGCACAAAATGTAAGAAGTACTTTGTTCACAAATGTAAACTCCATCGCCACATGAAAAATCACATTGACTCTGGCCCTAAACTTCTTTCTGCCAGAAGTAAGCGTTTATTGGCAAAGTTTAAAAATCAAGAGACAGATGGAAATAATGAAACAGAGGACAAGACGTATGATGAAGAGGGGAGAAGAGATTTTTCTTCAGACAGTAATGAAGATGACAATAATGCATGCAATTCCAGAGAAGATCGTCAAGATGACATGAAAATCCATCAGAAGAATTTAAATACAGAAAGTGAAATGCATCCTGACTTGCCCCTATTTCAGGAACCCAACAAAATCGCTGTAAAAAAGATTGACCCAGAGAATGGTTTGGTACTTGTGGAATGTGACATTTGTGGAAAGACGCTCAGTATTAATTCTATCCAGAATCACAAGAAACGTCACAGTGTACATATGCAGAATGATTTCAAATGCTCTTTTTGTGAAAAGGTAATGTCAAATCTACATAATCTGAGACGACACATAAGCGCTGTACATATGAATGAGAAGACTTTCTGTTGTGAATATTGCGGAAGGCTTTTTAAGGAAAAGAGTTCTATGACATATCATGTGAATTCTCAGCATTCTGAAGTTTTCTGTAAAAGTTGTGGACTTTCTTTTGAAAATGAGTTCAATCTCCAGGAACATGAGTGTCTTGCTGTGATGAATGAAACTGGTGAAAAGAGGAACCGTTTTGGATGCAAGAAATGTGAAAAGGGCTTCAGCCAAAGATATAAACTTCATCGTCACCTCTGGAAACATGTTGGCCCTAAAAAAATCTCTGCCAAAAGTAAACGTTTAATAGAAAAGTTACAAAATGAAGAAATGGAGTATGAAGATAGCAGTTCAGATGAAAGGGGGATATCCTCAGACATGAATGAAATTAGTGACTCTGAAATGGATAATGAAGAAAGAAAAGAAAGATCATCTGAAGCAAGAGAAACACCTTCTATTGTCAGTAATTGCACAACTCACACTGATAACTCTGAAAAGAGAGCTGCCGGTGTCCTGTTTTGTGAGATATGTAAGGAAATGTTTGTCTGTGAGGATGATTTTGAACATCATCAAATGTGGCATGAAGATGTGAGTGTTAATACAGAGTGATCTTTTAACTCAGGCAGTGATTGGTCCATTGAAACAGAACATATTCGTAACATTCCAATACCAAGTGGTTCCAACAATTCTGTTTATAAAAGGACAGATAAGCATTAAAAACTTCATGATTTACCTAAGATTTTGAAAATGAAGGTTCATTTTTTAAAGTTGATCTCTACATTGTTCAGTTCTCAAATTTTGATCAAACAATTCAAGGGAATTTATTTTTCATGGTTCAGTTATGTTAGCATTTCTTTGAGTTAGTAAATTAATGTTTTTGAATTTAAAGCAGAGTTAGTTTTAAATTGTTTTGTTTTTTTTGTAGCATTTTGTTTAAAATATTTAATGTTCATCAATTCCATTACTGTTTTTATCGTTAGACCATAATATTATTTATACAGATGTTATTTATTTTTGTTGTTGTTGTTTTTTTATATTAGTAAATGTTATCTTAAAACTTTTAATTTTGGTGTTTGCAAGATTAAACTTTAAAATCAATGTCAAATGTGTGCACATTTTATTTATTTATTTATTTTTTTAATTTTTTTTTTATTCACACAACATACAGCATTATATACATATTTCAAAAGAAACAGCATGATGTGTTTTTTTATATTTTAAGAAAGAGAGAGCAATAGAGAGAGAGAGAGAGGAGAGCAACAGAGAGAGAGAGAAAGAGAGAGTGTGTGTGCACATTTTATTGTTTGAATAATCTTGTGGAAAATTTCAGAAGGAAAGTTTTACTGTCGATCCCCTTTTGATAATTACAATATACACAAGGTTCCTTGATACTCTGATATAAAGAAAGATAACTCTTTAACAGTTTAATGACATAAATGTCTAAGCGAAAAGTTGAGGCATCTTTTTGTCAAATTTTGCCCTGCAAGCTATGTTTTAATCTTTTGTATTTTACTTAACAAATACATTTCTTTTGGAAAATCATAAGAGTAACATTCATATGATAGTCAGACGACAGAGCACAATAACTTGTAACACATGTATTTGAGGTATCCACTGAATCAATTCCCTTTTATGTCTCTGTATTATCTAACTATTCATGAAAGCTTTAATTTGATTGGTGCTTTCGTATGTGCATACTAGTACATGTATACATGTACCTATATAAACTTTTATTGCATATTCCCGGAGTCTTAAAGTCTTATTCTGAACAAACTTATGCAATCAAGCTTTCATGTACATTTCCTTTTTTTCTGGTCCAGTGGATTAAGGTTCATAGACCCTCTGCTCACTCTTATAAATTGTTGCTTGAACCTTAATGATTTCCAAAAGAAATATATTTTATAAGCAAAATACAAACTGTTATAGCATAGCTTGCGGGGCAAAATTGGACAATAATGACACTTCAACTTGAAAAATCTATAAAGGAATAATAGACATTTATGTCATGAAGAGTTATCTCTCTTATCAGAGCATCGATGAACCTGAAAAAAAGATAACATTAAAATTTAACTTATAATTTATTATCTCCCATGGAAAGAAGATAATTATGTCCCTTTGGATGAGCAAACTTGAAGCCAGCTCTCCCAAAAGGCACGTAGCGTCAGAAAGTAGGGGGCAAGGGGCCTCCTAACTTTTTACAAGATATAACTTTAACCATAGAAAATTTGTTGATTGAAAGTACGCCCCATCCCCTTTTTATTGTAGCACATGTATAGTCAAATAAGGGTAATGAAGTACGTTTGGGTAAGAAAAAATGGCACTGAAAGAACTTGGAAGATGCAACCCTACAGTCTCCCACCATAAACAAAAAACAGGATTTTCGAGTTTTGACAATCTATTTTGGTCTTTTCTTGATTTTTTTTTTTGGGGGGGGGGGTCGTCATTTTTTTTAGGTAAGAAGATTTTTTTTCTTTGGCTGCCTCCTCACCCTTTCAAAAACGATATTGACAAAGGATACTTTATGGTAAATTAAAATCGATGCATGTAAACATACCTGCTATATTTCAGCAGAACGATTCCACACGATAAATTTAAGTCATGGCTTTTTGATATCATTGACAGCTGCTTTTTCAATAAAGATGGAACTCGTAAATTTAATAACCTAGTCATTGGTATTTGCGAGATTATTTTGTTAAAAAACATTTTAATTATACACACAAGTATTCTTAAGCTGACTTCAAAAAGATGTTCGAGTTTTTGATTGACAATATATATGTGGTTTTGGGAGACCAGGTCTTCCAACTATCTATAATTGGAATTCCCATGGGTACTAATTGCGCCCGGTTACTAGCAGACCTATTTTTGTATTCATACGAAGCAGATTTTGTCAAAATCTTATACGCCAAAAGAAAACACTTGCCTTGGCCTTCAACTCGACATTTAGATATATCGACGACGTATTGTCAATTAACAATGGTAACTTCCATACTTAAATTCTGTCGATGCAATATATCCCGGTGAGCTTGAAATAAAAAAAAAATACCACAGAATTTGACAAATATGTTTCATAATTGGATATTTTACTTGAAAAAGACGTTAATAGTAATCTAACAACCAAACTCTATAATAAACGTGATGACTTTAACTTTACAATCGTCAACTTCCCTTACCTATGCAGCAATATACCTTCGTCACCTGCACACGGAGTTTATATATCTCAGTTGATTCGATACCCAAGAACATGCGCTAAGTATGAATAATTTCTAAAAAGAAGTTACTTTTTGACATACAAGATGATAAACAAGAATATCAGCAGTCTTGTTTCAAGTAATTATTTCGTAAGTTCTAAGGTCGATACAATGACCTTGACAGCAAATACTAGTACAATTTATCATTGAGACAAATGCCGACTGACGCTTTTATACTAATTGTTAGTCCATTATTTATACATTGAATTGACGATAGATTTTTTCCGTTATTTCCCGATCATGACAAGGAGCACACGGCGGGTGTGACCAGTCGGCAAGAGATGCTCACTCCTCCATGGCACCTGATCCCACCTCTGATGTTTTTGGAGGTCCATGTTTGCTCTGCTCCTATATATATATTTTTTTGTTTAATGGACTTTTGCTCTTGAATACTGTTCGTTATCTCCATAGGTTTCATTCAAGATATTCCTTTATCTCTACCAAAGAGTTGTTAAAAAAAAACATACGTCACGCATTTATTTAAAATTACCAATTGTATAAAATATCATAAAACGAATACATTTTTGTAGTTTCTTTCAGCTTGGCAGTATTCTTTAACGAACACTTTATTCACTGATAAAAAATAATCACAATAAAAATGCATAATACTTGATCAATTTTAAAATCAGTCCGCACTTAAAAGTATCTTTTGGAAAATCTACATGAATGCAATCAATCCTGGTATGTCGATAAGATTGAATTACTGGAAGCGAACTTGGGTGAGTCGGACGTCGCCTTTGATCTGTAGAGTGTCGATCCGGTTCAGGGGCTGAAGGCGATGTCTGAACTCCAACAAATGCTGATTATTCACGGCAATCTGCAAAACAGAATTAATTGACAATTTTAAATACAATATTTGGGGCATTATTACTGTATACAGGGTTATTTTCGCCCCGTGTTATTTTCGCCCTTTCACGCTTGCAAACAATTTTACCCCGTTTTAAATTCGCCCATTCATAGTTTTGTTTAAGAAATTATACTGAATTGTTTCAATTCGCCCCGTTTTAAATTCGCCCAAATGAGAGTAGGGCGAAAGGGGCGAAAATAAAACGGGTAGTATTACACAAACTTTTTTATTTTTGCACTAAAATACCTTAAATTTGTCATGTTCCGCCATGATAATCATATCGAAGTTGGCGTTGGGCATGAAGGGGAAGTAGGGACTGTGTCTCTCCTCCGACCCCCAGCCACCACCTTGACAAGAGTTCCTCAGGACAACGTTAAAGTCGCCGCCAACTCGGAGTCGTACGTCACAGTGCAGCGCGATGTCACTTCCGTCATACGGTCCACACATTAAGTTAATGGTGAACCTAAAGTGTAATCAAATACGTGTACAAGGACCATAAATATATTGTTTCAGTTACAGAAGAGGTTTTCTTTTACTTTACAAAGAAATGGTTACTTTTGGTAATCTATTTTATTGTGGATAATAAGGAGAAAATGAGTATGAATAAAATTTACCTTTCGGCATTGGGATGCGGCACGCCGCTAATGAATATCATTTTCCCCGGGAAAATCCCTCCAGAAATTGGTGTAGTAAATGGAACCGGCTTATTTGGAAAAAAAAACAATGTTTCACATTAGAAAATAAAACACGAATTTTGTTTTAGTTTTCGCCATATTTTTAAATCAATCACAAACCATAAAATCGCTTTACAATACTCACGGGGTTGTAAATTGGTTGGGCTCCTCCTCCTGGGTATCCCCCGGCCGGAGGGTAAGCTCCCCCGGGGGGAGAGTAGGCTCCTGCGGGTGGAGGCGGACTGGGCATGGCGGCCTGAAAAGCATTGTAATCCATGAAAGCTCTATGTGTGGATTTGAATTGAATTTACTTCAATTAGTGATTTAATTATGTGAAATATTTCCTTGTATTTTCTGGAAATTCATGTAGTGCTAAAAATAGTGAAGAGTCAACTATAAATTGATCAATGTCTAAATGATGCACTATTTTAAGAATAATAATTATTTACATAGTAAGTGGATGTAAATCGTACGCTTAGAGATGATAAGAAGAAACTTGTACTGAAGAGACATGCAAAACTAGACTATAGTGGTTAGTACTTTTATCACACACAGTTTGAGACTCAGCTGACCTACATGTAGTTCTTATGCACTTAAGTATCAGTCAACCAACTTTTATTCACCGACATTTGATATCGTTTGATAAAATGTGATTAATGTATGATCAGGTAAACCCTTCTCCAGTTTTTTCCTCTGAGCATTTAAACCCAAAATTGATATTTTTAAACCCCCCCCCCCCCCCCCCCCCGTATTCGAAGATTTAAGATATATAGTTTTTGACCTTGTCCAACATTCTTTCCTTGACCTCGGAGGTTGGCCAATTTTTACAAAAAATTAATAACACAATTTAGTGGTACCAAAAGAATGGTTGTCAAAAGGCAATCTTTACAAATGCCAATTGCAAGCTTAATGTCTAAATTACAGTAAAACTCAGTTATAAAGAACTCGTCTATAAAGAATTCCAGTTTATGTATAGAAAATAATTTCTTAAGACTTTAAGAGAGTTTGTATGGTGTTCTTTATACAGATATATTTGCATATCTACTGCTCACTCCCACTATGAACATGTAGTCATCAACTGCATTCATAGGACTATAGACGCAATTGCTTCTGTTATGAGTGCAATTGCTCCTTCACACTCGAGTAGTGCAAGCTCTCCTACACTTACGATATGTGTTTAGAAGTATACTGGTGTCTCATTATATCGCGGTACTTAATCCTTTTGTATAAAAAGTGTTATTCCAATTTTTTACTTTTAACTTTCATCAAAAAATATTCATAGACCAATCTATGGACTAACTTTTTATTGTCAAATTATTTCCCAAGCTTGCATCGTTTAAGTTGTTGTCTATTTTTAAAACAGGAAGTCTTATTTACCTCCTAAATTGGAGAATCTCATTGTATCGCGGTATGGGAAATCATGGAAACTTGTAGATGACATGGACCTCAATTTTTATTTTTGAATTTACGATGTAGTTCTACAGGAAGAATAAACAAATATACAGACTTAAGACCTTTAAAAGATGAACTATGGTATAATTTTTACTAGGTTATAAATTTAATTGTTAAAAATAATAAAAAGCGTGACTGGAAATATGTAAAATTATGTTTTCTTAAATATTTTTTTTTTCAAAAGGATGTTCCATACTTCTTACTCATCAAAAACGTAAACATTCGGACAACAAAAACATTTTGTCCATTAGTAAAAAGAATAAAGGCTATGAATCCAAATTTTTGCAACATACCGCGATACAACGAAACCCGCGATGTAATGAGAATCGAATATATATATATATGAAATGTTTCGTAAAAGGAATAAATATAAGTTTTTAATAATATTTTTTGGGAAAAAAGAATTTCAGAACAACTTATTTACTGATTTATAACCTTAAAAATTTAATTTTCGTCAATGTATTTAATTGTATAATAAAATTTTTTAAAAATGAAGAGAATTGCCATATTCTTATTTTTTCTTGTCATATTTTTTCATATTTGTACAAAGAACGATAACTCTTCATACTTGGGTGATAAAACTAAGCAAAATTTCTTCAATTAGTAATATGTATATTTCAAGAACGGTTTCAGCTCTATAAAATAAATAGAAAAAATTTAAAATCATACAGAAAAGCATTCTGGAGTTATAATGATTATCGAAGCATTCTTTTTTTCATCATAAGGTTAAATCATTGATTTTTTGTCAGAGGGTTTCAATAACGTTGATCGATGACGTCACATCTGCATCAAAACAAAAATTTAGATCTAGAGAATGTGACGATGGCACAGCTTGTATCCAGATATCTGTGTTTTAAAAGAGGCTAGTACTTTATAAATTGTTTGTGATTTATTAGAGAAAAGGTGCAATGATCAGGTATACTAATTTTAAAGCCGTGTGTTTTCTTTACTGAAGATAACAAGCCACATCTTTATGTAAGCCAGGATTTCCTCTGATATTCTTGATAAAATAATTAATAAACAACGATTATTCAATGAACATGGCATTATGAATAGCAATAGCTCTGCTAGCATATTTTTCATGATGCGCTAGCTAAATAACGTTGTTTATTACATTTTTAACCGTGAAATACTGTAATTTATTCATTGAATAAAAATGATATCCTGTCACAGTGTGAAAGGATTTTATCCTGTCACAGTGTGACGAATAAAAGTTGGTTTAAATTCATCTCATAACAAGATTGCTGTAAAAAAATCTTCCTTGACCTAATATAAGATAGATGGAAATAAATAAACCATTTGAAAGCGAATAAAACTTATGTTGCTAAATCCATGTTTACAGTATTTTCACCTCACTTAGCTATGACGTTTTAAACTCATGACTGTGTTACAAAAAGACAGAAGCAAAGGAAAAATCAAAGATTTTTTTTAAAAAATGTAATAAACAGAAAATTCAATGTTTTGTAGTTGAATATGGAATTTATTTCACTCGTGAGACAGAATTTTTTGATATTTTCACTCGTGCTTCGCACTCGTGAAAATATCAAAAATCTTCCCTAAATAAATTCCATATTCAACTACAAAACATTGAATATCCTCTATTTATTTCTTAAATAAAGAATCTCTGTTAGACGCGGCCAAAATTCGAAGTCCCCATGAGTTCCTCATGACAGAGTACATTGTATTCTGTTCGAACAATTTCTTAAAGGCAAACTATTGACAAACAAGTTAATGATTCAAGGATATCAACAATCTCGTTTAAAGTCATCTTTTGACAAGATCTATGGTCAGTTAATGTTAAATTAATGAACATATAATGGGAAAAGGACAGCCTGTTAAAAGAGTATTATCATTTTTAAGCAAGTCAGCGAAGACCCAAGTAGAAAAAAAAATACAAATAAACATTACATTTAAAATTAATCCAGCAATATTTGCAAGTAATACAACTCTACCAATAATATAAAATAACAGTTATTAGTCATCATTTTTAAAGTTAAAAAGATAGAAATAGAAGACTTCATTTCATACTATATATCCAAGATATTTCATTTGTCTTATATAATAATAAAGCATGCTGGCATTGTGCTTTAATTAAGGCCACTATGAACTCGTTGGATTAAGGAATCTTTGAATTTTTTGCGAATAAAAGTTGGTTTAAATTCAAAACAGTATTTTATTAAGAGTGTTGAGAACCGTTTTTCTTTTGAGTTTTTTTTGAAAATCAGATGTGCTGGGGAGACTCGTGTTTTTTAGGGTTGGGTCAGCTAGTGCCTCAAACCTTCGCTATCTCTCCGACCACTCGGCCTAGAAATCCCCCTACTCCGTGTCCATGTGCGCCATCAAATCGAATGCTGTAAATCTGTACACCGCCCTCTATCGTCAGAGTGTTCACGTGATGCTTCTCAACTCTATGGCGGAAATCACAAAAATGTCTACCATTCACAGATATCTAGGGAGAAAAAGATTACCAGTTGTAAAAACAACTTTCCTTAGTTATCATGCATTTATCAGACTTATTTCAATTTAATCATTAATTTTATGTATGATTTTTTTTAATTTGATATTTGCAGAATTTTATAGTATCTCACATATATGTATTTCAATTTGTTACAGATTCGTATTCTCTGCTTTGATTTGAATTTTAAAACTGTAAAAATATTACAAACGTTGTCAAGGCAACAAATTAAACAATATATATCTACCTTATAGTGGTGATGCTGGCAGAGGATAATGACCTCAAAGGGCATCCCCCTCTGAAAGGGCTGGTGCCCTCCCCTCTCCTCCCCTCCCCAGCTATGGTGCTGATAATGATTTCTGACCACACAGTTTTCATTCAGACGAGGGTTAAAATGTAAAGCTGTGTTGGACCGCGGGTTAATGTTTGGTCCGGTTTGAAGGTTGATGGAAAAACTATAGAAATCAAGATATAATGAATATTTATATAGATATACATCTATATAATTATATATATAGGTATAATTACTGTATGTACAAGGATTTTCGCCCCTTTTGGCCTTTCTTGCAGGTGGGCGAAATTTAAACGTAGCGAATTCAAACACAGCATAATTTCTTAACTGAACTGGGCAATTTTAAAACGGGGCAAAATTATTTACAAGAAAAAGGGAGAAGATAAGACGGGGTGAAAATATCCATGTATTTTTTTTTTTTGGATTTATTATTGATGTGCAAATACATTTTTTCCATTTCAAAAAGGGAATGCGGCTGAAAATATATAATCAACGTAATTTAATAATGACATATATTATGCACGATATTTATTGAAATAATTCTGAGGTGAATTAAAGTTTTCACAATTAAACTAGGAAGTCAAATTAAATGTACAGGGTAACTAATATTTGCTGACATCCACCCGGATGGATTTATGAATCTTTTCGCACGTGGTGCAGACAGGAAGTTCCTTCCATTATTTCTAAATGCCAGTAACAGATGTAGCATTAGCCTGCTTAATGGCCGTAACAGGAAGGGAAAAGTCCATAAAAGTACGCCGAAATCATTTTTGGGAAAATACCCACTTGATGAAAAAGTGTGAATAACAAATATATTAAAAAGACGGGAAATATGCAAATCATGTATTTTTCCTTATCTTTTCTTTAAACATTTGCTGAATCATTTTAACGCGTAAAAGGAAATAAAATAGTTCATATCTAGGCTCTGGGGACTTTTGTGATAAAACAGTTTGAATTATTTCCTTTTAACAATTTTTCGCCTTCATACTGTAGAAGCAGTTCCCTTCTATGATCTCTTGATAGTTATAATATAACTATCAAGAGAACTGTTAATATTATTAACAGTACAGTGGACCTTCAGATATCCGGACATCAGATTTCCGGATGCTTCAGTATCCGGGCGATTTTTCATCGGAACGGATTTTTTAACGTTATTATGTCTTGCTTAACTGGTAATTCAGGTATCCGGACGTTTCACATGTCCAGACAAATTGACTAGGAACAAAACCGTCCGGATAAATAAGGCTCCAATGTATATAGTGTTGTAATATGCATACCTGTGTTCATGGTGGGGGACCACGCCGTTAATTACGATCTGACGTCCATCTCTCATACCCCCGGGGATACCGCCTACATACGGAATGCCCTGATAAAAATAGAACATAGAATCATCTCTCAAAAATATGAAGTATGTGGTACTAAATGTAAAAACTGAACCTTGTTCTGTGTCAAAATAGACTTTGACAGCTAAAAATTCAAGGAATTTTAAATGATTTTTTGCCCCAGGAAAGGAATCTAGACTTTAACAGCTCAAAATTCAAGGAATTTTAGACGATTTTGTGCCTAGAAAAGGAAGCATAAAGGTGTCTGTATTCAAAGTAACGGTATATACACCAGTTCCGTGTACATAATAGTTTATCTAATTTTATTTCATTATAATTGTCAGTATGAGGAAATCAATACGATACTCAATACAGTTAATAACATAAGTTACAGCAGTGAATGGGATCAATGTTTTTGTGTATCTGGCACCTACACATACGAACACATGCACGCTGCACGTACGCATTAATCTGTTAATCTTGATCTTTTTTTCATTACATTGTACATCATTATTACTCTTGGCCAGTCTTGGGTATTGATTGACTGTCATGTAAATTTTGTGGGGTTACCGAGTGGCAGTAAATAGAGAATTACAACATAACAGCTGACTGATCCATGTCTGCAAAAATAATGTATCAGCTTCTCTGGCTCTAAAAATAATCAAAACGTAATCAACTTCTCTGGTCTAATTAGTTTCACGTATTCATATAGGTCTAGAAATAGATAGCGATATAGCAGACACATGTTAACAACTGATCGATTATAAATATCAGTCCTCCTTTTCCAGGGAGTATACATAAAATAAATAATAACAAAGATGATAATAAAATCTACTTACTGGGTTTGTTACCGTGGCCATTTTCTACTTTCTCTTCAGGGTCAGGAAATGAATGTGATGTGCTGAGTAGTGATGAAATTTAAATATTGCAGGAAAATGTACACACCCCCACTTTTAAGTCACGTCAGGTGACCGACTCACGCGGATATGATTGTTTACATTAATGTCAAGGGGGTTCAACATTCAAGCAATGCACAAAGGTAAATAGATAACAAGGATATACTCCGTAAACAACAAAATCTAACAGGCACCAACATTTCGCAAGGAAATCGGAAATTTTCACAGAAGATACATATCTCTCCCTGCCTCTCTCCAACTGAAACTTAGCCATTAAACTAATATCTGATAGTTAGAGCACAGCACACGAGGGAAAGAATGATTAAATATATATTAACAGGAAAGACTTATGCATAGTTAGATTCATTAGAGTTCACTTGAATCAGCAATCTTTTATTTATATGTATATATGAGTCATTTTCTCCAGATATATCTACTAGTATTTTCTATGACGTTCTGTCTACATGTATAATTTTGAATCTGTATGTATCACGAAATAAAGATTGATTGAAATCAAAAATTGAATAGGTAACAACTTAATTAGTGTATGAACAACAATCAGAACTTCACAAACTGATCAATAATCATGTCGCATACTGATCTTAATCTGAAGAGCATTTACCGAATTACCTCAAAATAGACTTGTATGTAAAAATGGAATATACAATGTATGATGCGATTGTTTGATTGAATTTTAGAGAAATTATCCTAAATTTTGACTTTTCCCCTGACTAGTTGATTACTTATCTTCTAACCGAGTACCACCGCCCCAACTACCTGGTTCAGGAAATTGGTAAAAACCTGCCATATCTAACATAATATATAACCCAAAAAAACTTCTCCTCTGCCTTTAAGGGCTTGGAACCTTCTGTTCGAAAAAAAAATTCAAATCCTACAGCATTTTTTTAAGGAGGCAGCGTTTTCTTTTTTTTTTTTTTTTTGTTTTTTTTTTTTGTTTTTTTTTTTTTTTTTTTTTTTTTTTTTTTTTTTTTTTTTTTTTTGTTTTGCTCAAAACTTTGATCAATGAGACCGAGCAATTTAACATTACACTATTCACATTTCATAATTCACACAATTTAACGTGTACATATGTAATATTTTAATATCCATTTATGTGTACTTTAACTTCACAGCTTATCACATTCTTAATAAATTTTGATATACATGTACGTTAACAAAAATAAATTCTTAGTCAAGTTTAGCATCTTGTTACATTAGCTTAAGTGAATCACAATTTACACCTCATATCACTTTATATTCCATAGTTACATCAGTAATGCATGCAAATACCCTCACAAACAATTCACAGTCATTGTCAAACATACTAATATTACAAGAGATATCTAAATAAGTACATTCTAGATAATATGATATTTTAACAACTACTCTCCCTGAATCATTTATGTACAATTTGTTTGATTTTGAATGGAAAGAAACATTTTTGAAAGAAAAAGCAAGCTAGAATTAGTCGTATTTTTAAATTCTACTTTACACAGCAGCCTGGGGATTATAGAGCGGAACCTCAAGTTTAAACCAGAAATGCTCCATGGTATTGACTACATTGTAGGTCTATTGGAAAATAAATGTTCAACAACTTAAGGACGATAAAACATATTTTTATAAAATGAAAACGAAAACATAATTACATGTATGTCATTAGCGTACAGAAAAAAGAAGTGGGGTCAATGTGGGAGGAAACCGGAGCACCCGGAGAAAACCCACGTGTCTGAGTGGGCGACCCCATACCCTCTTCCAACTCAGACACCCGTAACTTTGGTGGATGTGCTTGTGTGTGCTTCACAGATCTGGCTTTCTCTGTTGACATCTTTCTTTGTCTTTCTCCAAACACGAACACAAGGATATGTCCCTTCGATGCTTTTATTTTCTGTCAATGAATAAGAAAAAGTAATCATAATGGGACTAATGATCATGAAGAACATTGTCTCACAGAATAGCATAATCGTCTTAAATAGCTTTCACATACCTGGGAGCTCCTTGTCATTCAAAATGTCAAGGACACCCACATAATTTCATCTGAGTCTCCTACTGGGCACTGCCACCAAATCATCAAAACACACTATGAACAGACTTCACATCGGTCGGTATATATTTGCCTTATTTTTATTCTGAGTGCAAAATTTACTTCTAATCAGGCTAAGTTAAAATTAACTTAAAGTCACGTTTGAGTATAGCCACGTTATGTCCCATTTTCAACATAAATACGAAGAAGAGAATTAATTCTTTCACATCCTACTAAATGGCACGTTAAAGAACGATCAATCAATCATATCCAATTCAAATGTCCTCTTAGGGTCCAGGTTTTGGAAAACTGGTCAAGTGAAATTGCAATGTTCTTGAATTTTGCAGAAAAATAGTGTATTTGAGTACCTTAAGATAAGAATTGAAATATTAGCATGTCCTCAATGATCCAAAAATAAGAAATGTTTTTCAGAAGCAGATCTTTCATTTTATACTTGTACATTTAGACGGTGTGGTATATACAAATTTTATTTTATAGCCTTTTTTAAAGAAATATTTAGGATATGTGGAAAATGACGCAATCCGTGACTTCATAATGCATGAACTAGCAAGAAATTTAGGTAATTTTCATGAGATATGCAGAAACTAAAGATCCAAGTGATAATTAATGCATTGTCAACTAAATCAAAGTGTAGTTTTGATTCTCAGAAATTCTCAAGGCCAAAGAATCCTTAAGAGAACCTTGTTCTTTATATCTGAGGTATTCTCTGTCAAGTGAACGCAAATTAAAATTTACACAAGAATAGGAATATTGAAGAACTACGAACTCTAACTCCTAATTCCCGCCTACATTTTGCACCCATTAAATTCAAAATTAATGGCAATTTGGCCATTAAATCTTTGTTTAATACAAAGAACAGTTCTATGGTAATTGATTGATCATTTTAATTCCAGCTCTAGATAGTAAATTATCATTAATTCCAGGTCTTGAAAAAAGGGGGGTAGACGATATTTTCTAGTGAAATCGGACTTTCAAGAATCACCATATTTTGAAATAGTCTTAAATATGATAAAATGTATCTCATATCTTTTCTTATGTTTTACGCAAATAAATAAAACATATGTAAATTAATAAAATACAGTTATTTAGTTGTAAATAGCTTTAAAATTGGTGAAAAAGCAGCATTTTTTCGTTGTTTGTCTACAAACATATGTTCCCCCAGTGAAACACAAAAAGCTTTGGCATAAATTTGTAAAATGACAGTCCATATAACCTGTAAAAAGGAATTTTTGTTTCACGGGGGGGGGGATGTTTTAAAAATATTTTCCGTTTTCCCTTGATTTCTATAGTGAAAAACACAAATTTTACCAAAATTATAGAGTTATCTCTTTTTGGTATCCCAAATAAGAAACGTTTTATGAAAATTCGTATAAATATCTATAAAAATTTTGAAAATCATTCAAATATGTTAACTTTTGAGAATTGACTTAGAGGTAGGCGGGAGAACAATACTATCGTTCGTAGTTCTTTGTCTAAAAAGTATATATAGCATAATTAATTTCATTGAAAAACATCCTTTTTGTACATGTAAAAATATTGACCATTAATTTGTTGTATTATAATGTTCAATTATTATTTTTAGTAGAATTTAACAAAAAATAGAGATGTCCTTCTTCGTGCATGGGAGGAACATGGAGCTATTTCACAACAACTGAAGAACTCCAACCATTATTGGCAAAATAAATATGCTTTGAAATTTCATACTGGTTTACATTCAGTATGAGAGCGCATGTGAACGTAATGCAAACGTTACGCCAACACACCAAAAAGTAAAATCTGCAAACGTTAAATATATCCCTGTTGATATAAATTACAGCATCTGAACAGGGCTTAAATGAAATATTATTATTTATTTCCAATATTTCTTTAATTGCACCCTTTTCTGGAATTATTAATTATGTCACATACCTGATCTGTGACAGTTCTCCAAAGTGCTAAGTCTTGCTGTGGGGAAGGTCAACGTCCGTCAGTCTAGTATTTCAAGTTGTTTCCACCAATTCCTGTCTTGCTACCGTAGCCCATTTCCACATGTTGAAGGGACAGCATTTATCAATCTTATCTACGCAATTGTTTCCACCAATTTCTGGCTGGCTGAATCTGCTTATTTCCACATTTTGGAGTGTTAACGTTAATCATTCTCTGATTTTCCACTTGTTTCCTCCAATACCTGTCTGACTGTAGCTGCATTTTTTTTGTTTGATGTTTGATGACATAGTAAGCATTTCCCATATAAAGAAGGCCCCGGACCCTTTCTCACAAGTACGCAAATTAAAAATTAAAAAAAAATATTCTTTTGCTGCACTCTTTCTTAGATAATTGATTTAGTCAACTACCTGATAAGGGACAGTTATCCGCTGTGGTAAGTCTTGCTGTTGAGAAGACCAACGTACATCAGTCTAGCATTTCAAGTTGTTACCATCGATTTCTGACTGGTTGTAGCTGTGTTTTTACCATATCTTGGAGGGTCAACGTCCATCAGTCTTGTCTTTTCTACATGTTTCCATCGATTCCTGTCTAGTGGTAGCTGCTTATTTACATCTTGCAGGGTCAACATTTATCAGTCTTGAGTTTTCATATTGTTTTCACCAATTTCAGTCTGGCTGTACTGCTTATTCACACACCCTGGAGGGTTTTCTATCTGTCTGTAGCTGCCTGTTTCCATATCTTGGAGAGTCAAGGTGCATCAGTCCTGTATTTTTCACTTATTTTCACAAACTCCTCACTAGCTGTAACTGCTTATTTCTATATCTGGAGGATTAAATGTCATTCAGTCTTGTCTTTTTCATACGTATCCATCTACATGTATTCCTGTCTGGCTGTACCTACTTCTTTCATATCTTTGAGAATCAGCGTCATTCAGTCGTGCCATTTGTAGTTGTTCCTGTAAGGTTGCAACCGTTCTTTTTTTTTTAATATCTTTGTGCATCACTTTTATTGGAATCTAGGGAGGTCACTATAAGAAAATGAACAAAATCGTGAGATCAGGGCTTACATAAAACATCATTTATCCAGCTCAATGATATTCTTTTGATGGAATCTGCCTTGGAGCATTGATCAAGTCACATACCAGTCTGATAAGTGAGTTATCAACTCTGGTATTTCTGGCTGTTTGTTGGTCAATGTCAATGGTCCTGTATGGTTGCATTTCTCATTTTTACATTTTGGAGGATCGTCGTCCATCAATGCTGCCACTTCCAGTTGTTTCCACCATTTTCTGTCTAGGACCATCTTAAAAATATTTGTTCGCCCTCTTCCGACTCAAGATTAAAATATTCAGTTTGAGGTAGGTTGGGAAATTATTTTACAAATGACGATTTCAGCTTGAATACTAAGTTTTCAAAATCTGATAATTGGAAAATTAATACACTTAAAATAAGCACTAATAAGATAAACAAAAAGTGCATTATGAATTGCAAAAACAATTGTTTTCTGAGGGTTCAAGACGTTTTGAATCTGGCAATTTTAGAAGATAAATTGGGAGAGGTCAAACATTATTTTTTAAGACGGCATGACTGTAGATGTTCCATTCCACACCTTGGAGTGTCAGTGTCCATCAGTATTGTCTTTTCCAGTTGTTTCCACTAATTCCTGGCTGGCTGTAGCTGCAATATTCCAAATCAGGGAAGGTTGATATCATCACTTTGGTCATATCCAGCTTTCGACCAACTCCTGGAATGCTGCAAATGTTCTTTTCCCCATCTTAGTAGAAAACCTTTTATAGACACCGTGTATGGAAGTCACTGTAAAAGATTACATGTGAACAGGGCTTAGGTGAAACATTTGGTACATTGGCAGGACTAAGAATTTTAATGTATGTATTCTGTTTTGCATTGAATCATTGATTATGCTTAATACCCGATAAGTTACAGTTATCCATTTAATAAGTCTTCCAGTTGGAAAGGTCAACATCAGTCATTCTTAGTCTAGGGATGTCAAAATTGTCAATAATTGATATTCGAATATTCGACAGGAGTATTCGAATATATTCGAATATTCGATAAAATAGATACATTTTGCATTATAGAATATATATTTTCACACTCCAATCAACCAGTATAGGTTTTATGTCATTATTTTGGAATAAAATTTCAAGTAGAGTTTTGTAAATGCAAAGTAATTATATTTTTAAAATTTTACAGAGTATATGAAGAGTAAATACATGTAAATCCAAAATGTAATTAAAAATTGTTTTTGAAAATTCAAAATATTCTTTAGTATGTTCCAGATTAATTGATCGTCTTACAATGTACCAAAGCCTGCACTAATTACTCCTACAAATTTATACCACGCTAAAGAATTATCTACTGAAGAAAAATTAAATTCAATTAATTTTAGATGATTAATTTCCTGATAATTATTTTAACGATATATACATAAACAAGGGATCAATGTGTTTTCTGTACAGCTGTGTTTTTAAACAATACAAACTGATTGCAAGTACTTTATATACCAATAATTAAATGATCAAAGAATAATGTATTCTAATAGATACACTCTTCACACTTTTGAAGTAATCCAACAGGAGTGTCTTTTAATTTCTTTTTTAATCAAATACTATTCCTAGTCCAATTTGGTTCAATTTCAAATAAAACTTGCAAGATTTTTTCTCTGTTAAATGCTTGTGTACTTTACAACCGAATATTCGAATCATGTATTTATATTCGAATATTAACTCAACGAACGAATATTCGAATATTCGAATATTCGTTGACATCCCTAAAATTTCTTACCTTTTTCCAGTTGTTTGCTCCAATTCCAGTCTGGCCATAGCTGCTGCTTTCCACATCTTTAAGGGTCAACATCTATTGGTTCTGCCATATCCCGATGTTTTAATAATTTCCTATCAGGTTGCAATGGCAGTTTTCTACATCTTTCTACTAAGACTGTCATCGTAACCATCATGGTAGTCCTGTCTTCAACCTGTCAGATACAAAGTGTTATTTTTAATTCTTTTTGGGAAAGGGTTAGAATGGGTACTGGATCCTCCCGCATCGTACATGTACCAGATCCGAGTTCCAAAAATTTTTAAAATAAGAGGA